AGATTCATATTATTTGTATTATTTTTCGTATTGAAATACATGTTGAATGTTGTATTAAAATTAATTTTGATTAAATAATCTTCGAAAATTTCGAAAAATTTTTAATAGAAATATTTATAAGAATAGAATTTATTAGAAGATCTTTTATTTTAATAAGTAAGCGATAATTGCTTTGATAAAAATTTTCATATTGTTTTGTTAGTCTTTTAGACAGCTTATATCATTGTTTTGGTATTTAATTTATTATCGACTAATTGAATTTTATTCAAACATATTTTTTTTAGAATACATTTAATATTCAATATTTCTTTAAAACTCATTTTCTTTTTTATCACGTATAATATTTTTTTTCATACGAAGGTTTCAAATTGCGAAATAAAAATATTTTATAAAATAATGTCTAATAAATTCAATTTCTTTCTCATGACCATATTTGTCGCGACAAGAATTAAATTTTTTGACTAGTCGTGACAAAATTTGATCTAAGGATTTTCATGCTTTCTACACGAGGCGTCGATTTCGCTGGTTTCGTGCTACTTGCACGAGATGATCGGGCGTGGGCGTTTCGAGTTGTATTCGTGGAAAGTACAAACGCACAGCGATGTGCTCTTGGGTCTCTGGTAGTTAAGGCCTAACGCTAGGGAGTGGGAGGTCGAAGAGCACCGTGCAATCAACCCGTCAATTTAAACCTTTTTTCGTCGTAAAACGAACATCGATGCTTTCTGCTCTGTTACAACCATTGCTTGTAAGGGGACCACGTTTCAATTTCAATTGAAGAACAAAGTTTCTTTGATGCTTGAGAAGTCTTTCTTTCTATTACTTTTTTTTCTTTCTCTCATAAATTTTGAATATTTTATTATAATAATTTTTTAACTCTCCCGTTTTAATGATTGAAAATCTTTGTTGTTTCAACAATAACGCTAATTAGAATTTCGATTTGCTGAAATTTCTAATCCAATTATAGTTTGTATATAGAATTAATGTCAATATTTCTTTTCAATTTTTAAAAAATTTTTTAAACTGTTATCTTTACATAACATTAGATCCTAAATAAAAAAGTTATTCATTTTAATTAAAATAAAAAATTGTTTAATAATTTTAAAAATATTAATTTTTTTATTTCATATTATTAACTTTTTTTTTCTTCAATTGATAAATACTATACTATTTATTTTTAAAGTTATAAACTCGTTTTTCTTATCAATCTGTATATAATTACTAATCTTTTTAAATAAAAACTGTAAAAATAATTTCATATCTTATCATCAATTATTTTTTGAAATATTTATAAAAAAGTTTAAAGAAACAGAACAATATAGTTAAATAGGACGAACAACAGCTTCTTGCTTCTCTAAAATCATCACGTAAGAACATAATGATCGCATCTAACGTTAAACCTTAATTTCATGTTACTTTCTCACCTGCTCTGGCAAAGCATTAGATATTATAGATGAATATTATATACATCGATTCACAATGTCTTGACATTATAACTTAAAGGCAACATGAAATCATTTGCTAAGCATTATATTTTTTCAATAAATTAGCAATCAAATGAAAAAAGATGGGAAAAATTTACTGAAGTAATTATTAAAAATAATAAAAATAAGAAATAAAACTAAAATCATATTTATCAATCATATAATTAAGATAATAATCAAAAGAAATATATAATAAAATATATAATAAAAATATATAATATAAGTAGCAAATGTTGACATAAAAGCGTTCACGGAATTGCCCTTCGTTTCTATTTATAATACTGAAGCGTTTCACAAGAGCGAATAATTGTGACAAGATTTTTGCCGGCAACGAGTATCCAATAGTATCCAATAGTATCGACCACGAATCGGATGCATTTGATCCCCGGCATGATTCGTACACGATCACAGTCTCTTCGCGAAAAAGATGTATACTATACGGGTAAAAATTATCGATACCGCTTGAGTATCATTCGCATCGCTAGATTCTCTATCCTATTCACGATCTTTCTAAATCCGCCTTAAGAAACCGCATGAGTATGAGCGAGACGGTAAGACCGGCGTGTAATATGAAAATGAGAAAGAAAAGCTCGGATAGTCTTGGAACCCGCGAGGCGAGCATATACACGAGAGAAGGGACAGAAAGGGACAGAAAGAGGCAATGCGAAGAAAGAAAGAGAAAGATTGTCTTGCCCGGAGGGCGGAGCGGTGTGGAGGAGAGCAACGGGAAAACGACGGAACGAAGAGAAGGAGAAATATAGAAAGAGAGAAAGAGATAGAATGAAAAGGAAAAAGGTAAGAGTAGAGAAAGAAAAGAAGGAAGAAGATGGACTTACGTAGAGAAGATAGAAAAGGGGCAAAGGAAAGGAAAGGAAAGAGAGTGGGATGCTGCGAAAGAAGTAAGAGAGTAGAATGTGCAGGCGAGAGTGGACGGACGGCATACCACCACTACCGCTCCTTACTCCCCCCCTCGTTCCTTTCCTTCTTTCCTTCTCTGTTTCGCAGCGTGTCTTTTATTAACCAAGGCCCGCTTCCCTGAGGCCACTTCTCTCCGCCGTCTTTTCTCTCTTTCTATCATTCTCTTTTCCCTCCCGCTCACCCGTCCAACCGATCCCTCGGTCCCTCTCTATTTCTCTTTCGCCGGATCCGTGGCGGTTCTCTCGTGAGCCAGGGAGAGGTGCAGCGTCGAGAGCTCGCGAAATGCCAGTGATTCGACGCGACTTCGACTACGCGCACTACGAGAGTTTTTCTCCTTACGAGACGAGGGGATCGTGTGCTTCGACTGATGCTCGTTCCTCTGCCCTCCGCGATAAGGGTAGACCCGCGTCGCGACGCTCTGCGCCTTGAGTACGCCTCGTATACACACATACACACATAAACGCGTACATACCAACCGGCTGCTACCCTTGCTTCCTACGTGCATCACGCTGATACTCTTGCTTATACTACTAGTGCCGCTACTATCGCTGCTCTACTTTTTTTTTCTTCTCTTTTCTGTTTTTCTTCCCCCTATTTCTTTATTGCTATTACCATTGATATTACTGTACCACTATATCTATTTTTACCATTTTGTTTTTTTTTAAATCATTTTCCTTTTATTGTTTATATTTTTTTATTTTTCTTCTCTTTCTCTATTATTCACTTTGACTTGAATGATGTGTTCAGATGCGAGTTTTCGAGAACGTCTTGATATTAAGTATTTGTGAACGTAATATTATGTCGCGTATTACTACAATAAGTCGCAAATCAATAAACGAAACGCAATCGAGATTGGAAATTAAAATGAATTCCATAATTATGACTTTTTTTGCTATTGACAAAAAATATCGTAAAAAAAAGAAGAAAAATTTGTGAAATACATAGACTCTCAGGCACGAATTCGAGAAACAACCGAGTTTTTTCCGATTTTATAGAAATAATATTTGTACGATGGATTTTTTTGAATACAAAAATTTTCTTTTTTTAACATAATCTTTTTAACAAAAATTTCTAATATTTCTTATATATTCATTTCATTTATTTTTATATAATTCTTTATTATTATATTATATACTTTGTGCAATTGTTTAGTTATTTTTTTTTTTGTGTAAATTGTATCACGTATTAAATTCAATTAAAATATTATTAAATTAAATTATATAATTCTATTAAAATTTTTAAAAATATAAATCTGGATTGAAAGATAAAATTGATTTATGTATACAATATGCAGTATACATTCGTATAATTATTTTGGTGATCATACAAACATTAATCATCAAGCCATCAGAAAAAAATTTGCGAGTACTAAACCGGAAAAAACTGGTGCTATATGGTCGTATATTTTCCTTTTATTTAAAATTCGTCTGAAATAGAATAAATTTATTATTAAATATCTCGATATCATTAAATATCTCGAATTTAATGTGTTGGCGTATCAATTCAAAATTTTCTTTTTCTTTATTCTTATAATATCGTTTTTTGTATAATTTTTATCGATATATAAACAATTCGTATAATAGAACAATTTTTGTAATAGAACGATGAATCCAGTAATTTGTTGTAGGATGTGTAAATGTTTTCATTCATATAGAAATCAAAAAGAAGAATCTAGTGGAAATTCTATCTACAAATACTATGCTTGCACTTTTCTTATTTATAAAAACGATTGGTCAGGTAGCGATTGGTCAGCCATGCTTTCGAGGCCGGTATGTGACGTGACGTTGCCGTTTCAGCGTAATATCAATAACTTTGTGATATTGAAGAAAAAAACAATTGAAGAATTCATCTTTCTTGGAATCGATATATAATGATAGTGTGTATAATAATTAGATTTGTGGTTTGAAACTTTGTATATGCATTGTTTGTAAAATAAAATTCAGTGATTGTTCAGTGTTTATAATATTTCTTTCATGAGAATTGATTGGTGATTTATTTTAATAATATAAAATAATAAATATATATATATTTGACAACGTATATGGCGAAGGAAAGGATGAAATCAATGTCGTAATCGTTTGAGGGCGGAGAAAGTATCGTCGAATATCTTTTCAACGATTCTAGATGCTTTCGGATGAAGTGCATATACGTACAAAAAAACATCAGCTTTGAATACCAGTTGAAATTATTGTGTGAATTAAGGTGTTTCTTCGAAATGTTCGCCGAATCTAACCTAAAAAAAAAATCTACTTTTTCGAAACGTTCGCCGAATCTAACCTAAAAAAAAATCTACTTTTTCGAAACGTTTGCCGAATCTAACCTAAAAAAAAATCTATTTTTTCGAAACCATTAAACTAATTTCAAATAAATATTGTTGAAATAAATATTGCGGTGGTTGATTCACGATATTAATGGTATACACCGCGGTTACTGTTATCGAATCATAGTTTCCTTGAGGCAGAACGTAACAGGAAGACGGTTTTGTCCTTGAGTGTTAACGTTGAAACCGCATTATCTCGAATTAATTTTGTAACAAGTTAACTTTAATTTTTCTTAAGACATCTATTCGATCTGGTTGCCGAATCGCTATCTATTTTGCCGAAGAATCTTTGTTCAATAAAGTGGCAATTGTAAAAGAATAAATAAAGAAAGAAAGAAAGAAAGAAAGAACTATTGGACTTACAGCACGTCGAAAAAGGAAAGCCATGGTGATTCGCGACTGGAAGACCTCGGGAGTTGCACCTTAAGATCGCAGAAACGCGCAAGCGTGTACGTTTGCTGAGCAATCGAGAGAGACAGAAAAGAGTAGAACTACGATACAAATGAGGAAGAGAGAGATACCTGGAGAACCAGTGCAGCCTCGTAGTCTATCTCTCTCTTTCTCGTTTTCTCTTTCTCTCTCTTCTCTTCTCTGTCTGGCTATTCGTAACGAGATAAGGACTCGAAGTGGACGCATGGTTTGTTGGAAGAACGAAAACGAATCCTCCATTCGCGAGGAATCGTTCGGCGATTGCTTCGAAAGGATATTCGATTCCCGGTACAAGATAACTCGAAGCGGAAACCGAGATAAATCGAAAGACGTAGAATGTAAACGGAGAATGCTCGTTCTTGGTAAATTTCCTTTCGGCCCGGTGTAATTCAAGAAAGTATAAAGTAACGTAAGTGTGTAAAATAGATAGGAGGAGAAATTGCCAATATATACACATGAGATCAAGGTATTTGAAGAAAAAGTCACGAAGACGCGTCGAGGATACGGCAAAGGGATAAAAAGTGAACAATGAACACGACGACGATCGTTTGAGTGGAGAAGAAGGGCCGAACTCATGAGACCACTGTCATTTGAAAACTTGAGGAGGCTCGTCGGCCGCAAGAAGGACCGTAACGAGCCATCCTTCAAGCGCAGCGAGTCCTTCAAAAGGATATCGATAAGAAAAAGTTATCTAGATCGGGGCAAGCGACGTAACAAGCTTCAGAAGAGCTTGGAGCCGACTGTTGCGCCCTCTATTGATACAAAGTTAGACGAAAAATCTATCGAGAAGCAGACGATAATAAACGAACAGAAACCGAAGAAACTTCAGGACGATACTTTAAGTCGCGAATCGATCAGTTACGACGAATGGTTGCAAGGTGTCAGTTCGTCCTCGCGCGAGAAATTGGACGAGGTGCATCGAGAACAACAACAGAACAAACAAAATAAACAACACAACATTTTAGGAAAGAACAATATTCCGAAATTTCAAAAACAGATCGAGGCCGATCACGTGGCTGAAGATTTAAAAGTTCTCGATTTAGATGCATCGCCGGTATTATCTTCGAAGCCTTTCAGAATATCGAACGAGACGATTCAAGAAAAAAACAATCATCAAGATATCCTGCAGGTTCAGGAACCATTTATCGAAGGGCCTCCTAGCGTCAGTATTAATCTTGGTAGAATATGGAGAGATGCGGTACCTATGCCCTTCCCTTCATCCTCGGGACCATCTATACACCACTCTTTGGATAGTGCGCTCAAAGAGAGGAAACCTCAGCCTACTGTGGCGCGGACAGTTTCCGCTCCTGAGAAAAGTGTCACTGGAAAAGATATCACATCTGCATTCGGTTTTTCCTTGAGAATCGCCAAGTTGGCTGATTTTCGTGCAGGGTTATTATCACTTGTGTTTATTAATCGACACAATTTATGTCGACGATGAAATTGCGAAATGTGAAAGTAAAAAGTTTCCATGAAAATCGTAGAAAGTTTAAAAAACGAAAAAATTGCAAATGTGTAAATTTATAAATTTTAATTTGGTTTTAGTTTTACAATTTAAAATTAATGCTGAGTATATATCTCCTGAGTAAAAAGTTTTGGAAACAATTAAAATAGTTTCAATTAGATAAATGTATCATTATTTTAAATATTATTTTTTTTTTTACATAATTAAATTATCAAAAAAATTTATTTGAAAAATAAATTTTCTTATATTTTTTATTAATGAATGAAATTTTTGTAAAAAATTTTTACACTTTTTCCTATATATTTTTTTAAAAATTTTAACGTGCAGAATCTGAAAATGATGATCTTAATTGTTGATTTAATTTATTGCTTGCATGGAAAGTTATGAATTTTTAAAGAATTTTTATGCCATGTTTAATATTTATCTAATTATATTTTATAATTAAATAATAATAATAATAGAAGCGTGCCAAATTCAAATTTTACATTATTGATTATAATAATATTAAAATATTTAATATATTTTTCATTGAATAAATAATTATATATTATAATATTAATTATATGAAATTATTTTAATTAATTGTTTGAGAGATAATTTTAACTTATACTCTAATGTTTTCAAGCAGATGTGATAAAAATTCAATATTTGGCATCGTGTAATTAATAAATATCCTTAAAAATTCGTAACTTGAAATGCAATTAAACCAGTGAATTGCGAAATTAAGAGTATAATTTTTCCATATAATATATATTTGATAAATTCAAATAATTCAATAAAATTTATATTATAATAAAACCCAATTTAATTTAACACCGAGTAAATAGTTTCATGCAAATATTTTTTCAAATACTATTATCCAAGATTGAAATATCTTTCGATTATTTTTTTTGATGAACTAAAATATTTCGTCAATTTCATCGGTCGAAAATTTGGTGGCTAGACGTGAATTCGATAATAACGTGACTTTAGGGGTACGAGAAACGGTTTCTTCAACCGAAGAACGAAGAAACCATCGCCCAGCGTAAGCGCGGAGGGTTACTTCAAGCGAACGAACGCCTCGAGGCGATCCAGTTCCCGACGCCGTGGAAAGCGGACGTCTCAGAGGGTAAAGAAATCTCAACCTCAACCTCAGCCCGTGGCGCGTTCGAACAGTCCGGTGTGGTTCGTTCCGCCGGAAAGGCGTAGATCGAAACGTCAAAGGCGAGTCTGGCGAGAGATAAGATACTTTCCCGAGGCTGAAATTCCTGTAATCGAGAGAATCGACGATTATTCGTCGAATTTGTCGGACGATCAATTCGACGACCTGAAGTTGTTGCTTTCGGGGGATTTTAACGACAGACGAGAAGGAGGTTTGAACTCGTTGGTCTCGTCCTCGTTAGGTTCCTTCTCCGCGACATCCTCCTCGTCGTCGGCTTGTCGGGCACCAAAGATTAGCGATTTTAACGAAGACAAACTATTCTCGGAGGAGCTACGAACTAGTGGGGTCCTCGCGCGAAGAACGATATGGCGACCCATGACTTCGAATTACTTTGCCAGCAACCAGTTTCTCAGCTTTCTATCGAAGGGCTCGAGCAATCTCATTGGCAAAGAGAAGACGAGAATAGATTCATCGTTGTACTACAGATGTCTCTCGTCTACCGACAGCGAAACCGAGGACGAAACGACCAATCATCTCGAACGAAGGAAGAGCACTCACGCGATGCATAGGCAGCAACACTTAAAGAGGCAAAGGTCGGGGCTTAGGAGAAGACCTCTCAGGCGAAAATCTCAACTTCGAAAGGCCTCCGGCCAGCCAGTCTTTCTCGTGCGAAAATGTTCATCCTTGAGGAAAAGACCCAGTAAGATTCTAACTAAACGACGATCTTATTATTACGTTCGCAATATTTCGGACGGATTATTATTTTATGGCAACGATTTTCAATCTTTTCTCATCTCACTGCACAACAAATATATATATATATATATATATATATTGTATCTTAAATAATATTTTTAAGATATGTAAACAAAATTTGGATATATTTTTATATATATTTTATTGAAAATTGCTGCCTCAAATAGTATATAATGTATTCTATAATTTATGATAAAAATGAAGTTAGGGAGATTTTATGGTTCAAAATAAGTGGAAAATCAATAATAAATAAGTTGGAATTATCTATTGGAAATTAATAGAATTCATATAACAGTTTTCTAAGAATCAAATTTCAGGTGAAAAAGATATTGATATAAATAATTATTGTTTTTTTTTAGAAATTAGAAATAATTTTATTGACAATGCTTTTTTCAATAGTTTCATATATGTGAGTTTATTATTAATAAATAAGATTATTCTTTTCTTCTAAAAAGAATGTTCTATAAATAAGAAATAATAATAAATATAAAAAATGTATAAATGATAAAATAATTTTATAGCTAATGTAACTAATAGAAATTTATGTACATTCAAATATTATTTCTCAACTAATACTTCATCATCTGCAAAAATTTATCGAAACGTGGATCTAATTTATACATTACATCTTAAAAGAATTTCCATTCGATTACTTAACATTTTAAACAAGATGCATACCTCACTTCGTCATCCATGTTAAAATAATTTCCAATAATATGTTTTTTCATTTGTGAAAACATGATATATCTAAATGATAAAAACAAGCTGGAAATAATTTTTTGTCCTCAAAAATCTGAAATATATGAATTCCATTTCGACATATCTATTATATGTTTCATGTTTAACAAACCATGTGCGAGATTGCTTGATGCAATTGAAATGATATTTACAGCAACGACAAAGTTCTTTGTAATCATCTATGTAGCCATCTAGTGGCATAATTACTTAAATATCTTTTTTAGAACAAAAGTTAATAGAGAGAAATAACTTACTTATCGATTAATCTATTTAAAAACTACTTTCTACGTCGTATAAAGTTTGCTAATGGAAATTAATTTTTTCTTTTAACGACGATTGAAATCGAATTACTGGTATTATGTTAATACGAGTGTTCGATGATTCAACAACAAACTTTGTGTCACTTCTTAAGATTAGTTGCGAATCTGTCTCCTTTTCGTCTGGTATTCCACCTGATCGACGTTAATCACGTAACAGAATCGCCCAGTTTGGTTTTATTGCGGTTTTTGCCTCTGTTAAACTTGATTCAAAGCTGTGCACGTACGTTCGATTAATCGCCGCCTCTTTCCAATTTCTTTCTTCGAGTCTCTTGAATGCAATCGGATGCCTATCAACCTTTGATTGCTTCTTGCCCATATATGCGTTCTTCTTATTGGAAATTTTTATCATTGCTACCATATTTACTCTATAATACTATTTATTTTCTACACGTAAATTAAAATTTCTAATTTTTTTTAATTATTAATCATTATATGGCAAATATAAAATCTACTCGGATCCAAAAAAAAATCTTTTCACTTCTTTCAATGGAAATTTTCCACGTATGGATTTTTAATTTCTAAAAATTTATATCAAAGAATCCGAACAATTTCACTATCTTCATAGAAAATTAATTTTTCTTTACATCACGATTATTTGCATTTCTTTAATATGCAATTTATTTCACTTTCTCTAATTATATTTATTTTCTCACTCGCCGATTTACATTCAATTCAATTTCTGAAGATGAAAAAAAATGCTAGATTTGATTATATTTAACCAAGCATTGTAGATATGATCAGTAAAAATAGATACGTTATGGTTAAAGAGTTAATTATGAACGTCGATGTCAATGTCCTGGCTCAAGCGTTTAATAGATGCAGGATCTGCCGGTATATATCCCCAGCAAAGAAATTCTTCAGCCGCATGGTAACCATAATTCGAGCGTGCAATAATTCCCTTCGACGTGTTCGCGTTCATAGATCCGCGCACAATATGCACTTTGCCCGAAGGACCAGTCGATCCGCGTACCGATAATTTTAACTAGCGGTTAGATAGCCCGTAGAGATATATACGCTCGTATTCCATTGCTCAATGTCTAACCTCCTGGCTAAGTCTCTCCACTACCATTTCGGAAGAAGATCGTTTTTGCATTAAGCTACTGATTTCCTCGTTTTCTTTCAACTTCTTTTCAATTATACTTTGCATTAAAAATTTAAGAATAATTTAACAGACTGTGGATACAGGAATTCTGTGTTAGCGTGAAATAAACGAAAGAGGGAGACACTGATGCTCTTAAGTTTCCAGTACTGAAAAATACTCGAGAGTTTCACTTAGGTATTTTTAGGTTAAGTTAACCTTTTATCAGTAAATGTCGAATCTCGCAAGATTAATATGCTTTTATTATAATAAAAAATAAAATCAATAATAATTATTTATTTAAAAATCAAATTTTATATAATATTCTATTAATATAATATTTTTTATTTAAAGATCAAAAATGATCCAACAATTTTATAATTCAAATTAGAGAAACTATATTGTGTTTTGGATTGATTAATTTATTTTATATAACAAAAATGAAAAAAATTTTGTTATGAAACATTTTGTTATAACATTCATCAATTTATTACTATGTTACGATGCATTACGAGTCATGATTTGCCGTGCACGTGATAATTTTGCTATTCATTTTCTAAAAGTTTCATTTTTCATTAATAGACATTATGTGGAGAATAATTGTTAATTGTCATTCTCAATATAGTATTCATTAATGTTCGAAAAAAGAAAAATAATTTTCGAACGTTCGAAATTTAGTCTTAAATATCCTTAGGCGATTTAATTGAGTGAAGTGTCCAAGAATAACTTTTATTTTTAAGTGCAGTGCTCACGAAAAATAACTTTCAAGTGCAACTCTCAAGAATTTATATTCTTGAATACATTTGTATCCTTAGAGATTATATTTGATAACGTTAAATCGTGAAAGTATTTCGAAAAAGTAGGAGGGAGATAGTGTTGGTTAATTTGCAATTCAAGATCCAGAATATTAAGCATTTCTATAAGTTAGAAGCAGAATCGAAAATCCACGTTGATTTACATAATTTGGCGTCAGTACGCTTCGAAGACAATTGAATCAATTTCAGGCACTTGAGTCATTTCTCTTGCTAGATGCGGTAGTACATATTAACGTGGGTTATTGTTCAAAGACTTTTTTTTTTTTCATGGTAGGAATGTCGGCGCAAACTGGTTGCGAATCTTGTGAACATTGCTTCGTGGGATATTATTGTGTCTACGATTAAAATTGAAATAAATTTAAGAAAATTAGTTGAATTGAAATATAGCGGATCATTTAACGTGAATTATGTATCATCGATCATTTCGTTTTTTATCGATTTTTGTCGGTTGAATTCTCATCATTATAATTTTAATAATCTAGTTTCAGAGTTTTCGTTCAATTAATAGGAATTCATATTTCATTCAATATATCATGTAACAGAATAATTATGCAATTCTTAATTGAATTAATTTTTTATTATATTTTTATATTTTATTTTATTTTTTTTTTTTTTGATATAAAATATATATAATAATAAATATTGCAGATAGGATATAATTGCATATTAATAGCATTCTGTTTATTTTAAACTAGTTCAATTTTATTCAGTAATTATAAAAATTGAGTTTAATCATGGAATCTTCACGCACATGTAATCTAATCGCTCACGCCATATATTCTTATTTAAGATTTTTGTGTAAGAAGGTTAGATAACAATTGGTAATAGTAGAACGCGAATTATTTGAAAATGTTTTAATATACAGCAAAAATAGTAGTTCAGGTAATAATTTGATCTAAAGTTCAAATACTCATATATATCATTGAAACCTTCATTCATATAAATAAAGTTTATAGGACCGGAATTCTATTTGATATATATAACACATAATTTACGTAGAAAATTGGATGATTGGGATATAGATATCCGTGCTCGTTGAAATAAATTCAGTGATAATGTTGCATGGCCTAGTTTCGTTTTGTGCCGGTGCTCCTACCTGGAAAAATCGTGTCTCGGCCGTTAGCCGATCGATTCTAGGCATTTTCTCGAGTTACGAGGCGTGACGCCAGCATGCCAACTCGTTTCGCATCGTATAAGACACGTGGGCAAACTTGTTGCGATGCAGAAATTTACAATACATACCCATTCTGGAATTTTGCGAATGAAAAACTTGTTTATCGTTATTTCCTTGCAAAATTATTCATCATTGATGCAAATAATGCCTTTTCGTATCTATATACGATATATTATTGTGCATATTATTTGAAATTCCTAATGCTCAAACTTTTTTCGTTAAGTTTTTGTTGAGGCGATAAATTTTTTTTTCTATAATATACTAACAAAAATGCATAGTCATAAATGTTTTTATTTTATACAAGTTATATATATGTATGTGTATATCAATTCAAAAGTAAAAAATTGTTTTTCTGTTTTATTTTTGACAATTATTGATAATTAAAAATCTCTTTACACGAACAAATATACAGAAGGTAAAGAAGCTGGGATATTTTCTCTGATTGTGAATAATTAAAAAATGAGTCTAAGATGCAATTTTTTTTATTTTTTTTTATTTGAGGAATCATGCATTAAATTTTTTTGAATACCGGTTGGTGTTATTGTAAAAAAAAAAACTTATCTAATTGCGAGTAATTAACCTACTATAGATTAATTGTATTAGGTAGTATTGCATCATGGAAAGGCACCCCATGACTCGAAGAATGTTATTCCAGAACAGGTCTAGTAAATTTGCGTATCCGAGGCGCCTTGAGAATTCCTTTTCTCGGAAAATTTCATTGGTTTACATTTAGCGAGGTGACTTTCAGCCAGGTGTCTCCGTTTACAACTCGTCTCCCTGAGAATTTTGTCGAAGCAATTTCTACCACTTTAAACGTAACGACTTGGGTTCACCGATCGTCCTCGAAATTCCACGGGTTCTGTGCTGCGAAGAAATTACCCCGAAATGAGATCGCGCCAGAAGCTATCGAAATACATCCTTTTTCAGTCACAGCAGAAATCGTTTCGATGGAAAAGAGCATTGAGAAATTGATCTTTCTTATTTAGCTATTCGTTCGAGAACACGATTCAACGTGCAAACGTCCTTTTATTTATTTATTTTTGAGAATACGCAATTATTAATCGCATAGTGGTCTTCTTTTAATATATCGCTTTTATTCGATTAATCTTATATAATGTTAATTGTAAATCGTATCGAATGTCGTTATTTCGAACGATTGATTGTTATTTGAAATGCTATTTTTGTATATATTAATTGGAATCACTCATATTCATAGATATATTTGTAATATTTCCGAGTACGTTAATTGTAATTTTAACTGTTCTAGGGGATATTACGCAAAAGGGCTATGAGAAGAAACGGACACGTCTATTACAACAGTATGCCTCAAAGCAACTGGGTAAGTCGGATCTCTCTTTTGCTCGCAAGGAATCTTAGCGAACGAATCATGTTCATCATCATTTCATCCTTATCGAACAGCGCACGCGTGAACGAGAAGCTCATGATGAAATCGTAGCAGCGATAATTCTTTTCTACGCCACCAGGGGGATTTATGCGCTATTTCGCTAGTCCGACATTTTATTTTTACCGCGGACAAGTACCGGTGATTTATCGTCTACCGCGTTTATCGACTTGTTCTACTAGTGACAACCATTTGATTTTGTCTCTCGCCTTCTCGCCATATGAATCATCGATGAAAAACACTAAAACAGTATACGTTCGAAAGAGACTCTATTATAATGTTTAGAAAGAATCATTGATGATCCACGGCAAAGTAACGAGCATTCAAAAAGAAAGTGTGACGAATTGATGGTTTTCTCTTTGATTTAATTCCTATGTGGGCAATCATAACTGTAAAAGAAATTCAGAATTGAAATTTTGCATTATAAAACGAATGTGATTCTTATTATGATTTGATTGTATCGAAATTTATTTTCGTTTTTATTGAAAAAAAAATGGAGTGAGATAATACCAATTGAATTTTAATTATTTTTTTTTGTTCTTTTTTTTTTTTAATGAAATTTTTATTATTCGTAAAATAAGATCAAATATATAATTTGGATTCTAAATAAATATCCTCATAAATATTTAACTTCCAATCAGATATTATAAAATAGCAAAATATCGATTTCAAAAATATTCAAACAATTTTACGATATTTTATCAAAAATGTAAAAAATTATCAAAAATATGAAATATAGAAATATTATCTTATTGCTCATACAGAGGTTAATTTTGTCACGAAATAGCCTTACGTATGTTGCATTACGTACGAGAGCTTCTCGTCCTCGTGGTCTGTGCTAGCATGCGCGATAATCTCGCGCACGTCTATTGCGCCACATCCAGACGCAACCAGTCTCTCATTCTCTCTCTAGTCGTTCGTAATATTAATCACGTTCCGATTCTCAAGAGACACGGGCATTGCGTTCCACACACAATGCTGGTACATGCAATCGTAATGGGAATAAAAGAAGAAACGTAGAGAACATGACAGCGTTATTCTTCGTTCCGGCCATCGTTTTCCATCCGTCACCTTCTACCGGTTTTTCTCTCTTACACAATCCCCTTATCAAGCACTCAGGGTCTCCGTACTCGTTCGCGCCAAATATTTTCCCGCCAATTCAACGGCCTTATCACTTTTGCGATAATACTACGTGGTTTCGCAATTAAAGAATATTACTACATGTTTACTACATGAGTCTTTCAACTTTTTTTATTTTTATTAAATAATGGAATCATTCTAATATAACGTAGTTGAAGTATGTATATACATTTATATTACGAGTAATTAGAAATCATTGAAAATTTTTTTTTTAAATTTATTGTAATATTTTATTTTTGCAGAATAATTTATTAAAATAGTTTATTAATCATATTAATATATATAATTTTATTTTAGAAATATGTATTTGTGTACATAATTAACATTAAGATATGATAGTACAAAATATATATATTTATCAGAATCAATACATTTATAAAATTATTACGTAAATCATAATGAAGTTACAATTATTTTTTTCTGAAAAATTAATAATTTTATTGCTTAAATTTTGTTCAGAAATAATATTGATCATTATATTTCATCATTTTTTTAAATCAATTTTTTTATTTTGTTATCCTTTTATTTCATTGTTGTTTCAGAATTCTAAAAACCTAAAAATATAAATAAAAAACCTGAATACTTTTTAATTTCATTAAAATTTTAATTCAAATAGCAAAAAATATTTTTTTTTCGCACGACAAGTATACTTACTTGTCAAACAAATAACATGTTAAAAACTAATATGGTCGATTCTAGAGAAATAAATTTTATATAATTGACGAATATATTCAAACACAAAAAAATTAAAAATCGATTATTTGATTGATTCAGTAAAAATAGATTTTTTGTACAACGAATTTGATATATTTATCAAATACAATTAACAAATTAAAAATCGATCATTTGACAGGTAAAAACTATATTTATATACCTGTAACCATATATTTTTACCTATATTTTAATAGTTTTAGTGCTAAACCTACGAGTTTGCCCTTGCCACGATCACGCCTTCGGCAACAGTCCATAGCTACAGCTGCAATCGCTCGAACCGCTGTAATCAGTTGCAATATACATACTGTTTAACTGTACCTGCATGCGGAAGAGCTATTTCCGCGTTATCCGTTCGTTATACACTCTGTACAACTATTGTCGCGTACACGACTCTCGAGCAAAGACAATTTTCTCGGTAGTTGGAGTCACGTTCGATCCGTGGTTTTCCAATCATTTTCCTCCACGCGGAAATTTGTTATCCTCAGTACCGCTGTATTTCTTTTAAGTTGATTATAATCTCGACGATACACGCTGTTGCTTATAGCCCATTCGCGAATCTTCGAACCGTGCCCCTTTTTCATTGTATACTCGACGAGGATACATAATGAAAAATAATGCTAAACTGGACGATACGAGTTTCTTAATGGCTAAGTCTGGATTTATTTTGAATTTTGCAAAGAGAAAAAACGGTCCGATTATCGTTTTCGAAATTTGAAATTTGGATAATTCTTGATGATATTAAACTTGGATTTAATTGAGATTTAAATAATTGAGATTATAAATATAATTGAATCTCGATAATTCAAAAAAAAAGGTTAAATCTTTTATTTATAAAAATTTAATCTTATCGAATTTTTCAAGTAAGAAAAATTTATGAAAATGAAAATTTGATATATAAAGATATAAAAATGTATAAAAATTAATATTTTACCATTTCTTCTTTCAAAGAGCTGAAAAAAAAGAAAAATTTAAATAAATGTCATTTATTTTTGAGACATTTGTAATAATTGAAATAGAATGAAGTTCAAATGACCAATTATTGATACAATATAATACAAGTAATTAAGGAAAATAAATAATATATTTTGTGAGTAATAAAATAGGTTTTAAAACTAAAAATGATGGCTAAAAATTTATGTAGATATTAAGTAATTTTCCAAGTTATAATTCGTTCTTCTCATCAATGATTTATTGTCATTTTTAATTTATGACTGTATTAGAAATACGTGAACAAAAAATAACTTCTGCCTAAGAACATATTACGTATAACCAATAATTATCCTGTCATGCCATTGTATTCATTATTTCATCGATTTTAAATAAACATTCGTCAATATGATAGAATCAAAATTTATGATCTTTTTTGTATATTTTTCATAAAATATATAACTATAATCTATTAACTAAACTGATATATAATTGAAAAATTGAAAAAATATCAGTTTTAGTACATTAAACTTGTTTGTAAAATCATACTTGATTAACCTATTCAGTATGAATATTGACTTTAATCAACAGTCACTAGATGTCACTAAATGTACACATATAAACTTAATAATCAATAATATATTTGTCATAATATAATTTGTGATTTTATTATACTTTCATATTATTTCTATTATTTATTAAAAATTAGTTATTTATTATTATTATTTATTATATTCATAATACATGATATTATAAAACTAATGCTTTATAAAAAAATATTTCGCGCTATATTTTGTGCAGTTAACTAACACTGTATCGAAGAGGTTAGTGTCCCTTTTAAAAATTTGAATGTTCTAGTCCTACGTGACAATTTCGAAGAAAAGATCGATGAAAATAATCGAAATTCCTCGCTTCAATGCAATGATGGGCGTGATTCTATTAAAGAGAAAAGATATCGTATATACACGGGAGCGAACGCGATCCAAGCTCGATTTACACCGGTGGTTACGATATTGTCACGGTTCGCTCGAACGTTATTAAATTCCATGGAGCGTGACTTGCGCGTAAGCATTAGCTCTATTCTAATGTCGTCGAATCAGAATCGAACAAACCGTGACCGTAACCATAAACAGTGTTCAAATGATTATATGATTTTAAAAAAATGAAAAATTTTTGATCGTAATATCGTTATTTTTAATAATTTAATGACTTAGTTTGAACTAAGATTTACAGTTATAAAAGTTTTTTAAAAATATATCTTACATAAATGTAATCAATAAAATATTATAAAATGTTATTGAAACTAATAAAAATATTTAATATTAATATTTTTAAGATTTGATTTCATTCAAAATCAGAATGTTCGAAATAGAAGAATTTATAAAAAAAATCATAATTTTTAAATTGAAGTTCAAATTTAAAATCAAGGTCAAATAATCATTTTTGTTTATATAATATTATTCGAAAGGCAATTATATAAAATTTAGAAAATTAATTCAATTAATTTGCAGATACTATATATTTAGATTAGTAACTGATTTACGGTAACTTTAATATAACTTCTTAAAAAAATTCAACATAATATATAAATTTTTTTATAAATAGAAGCTTAACAATAATATTAAAAAAAAATATTACATATTTAATTATTTAACATTTACTGTAATTTTCATTTTGACTCAGTTATCTATTATTAATTTTGTTTTTTAAATATTAAATATTATTTAATAATAATATTAAAAAACAATAATATTAAAAAAATATATATATTTAATTATTTAACATTTACTATAATTTTCATTTTGACTCAGTTATCTATCATTAATTATCTGTCTTTTAAATATTAAATATTATTATTTATAAAATTATTAAATATTAACACAACGTTATATAACATATTTTTTGGGCACGTTTGGAAACAAAAAATATCTAGGAAAAAATTGATATATAAAAATTTCTATCAAAGAATATTTATTACATTATAATATGTAATATAAAAAAGTCTTATTCTCATTTAACGCGAATTTAAATTGCTCATAAATAAGATTCGATCAACACTCTTGTGCATCAACTTTTCCGTTTATTTTAACCTCTTGGAATCGACCCTTCAAAGATATACTACAATCGACCCTTCCATGAATATACCAACATCCTGCACAATCGAAGTTATGACTTTTTAAACTAAACGTATCACTCTATGAATACTTTTCCCATACTACTGTGTATACAATGTACAGTGTTCGCGTCTAACCAATGGTAAAGGGAACGAGTACAGAGAAGTGAGAAACTAGCTAGCGAGTCCCCCTCTCCTTCCAATCCGTGTTTGAGAATCGGAACGAGAAGAGAAGAGTCTGGAGGGTGGCTTTTTTGCATATGCACGTGTGTGGCACACAGGGGCTGGAAAGGATGGAGGAGGTGTCGGCGTCCTCGGTATCGGAGGGGTCGAGAGAACAGGTTATGGAAGCGGTGGTGGTGGTGTTGGTGGTGGGGGCGTCGGCGTCGGCGTTGGCGTCGGCGTCGGGGTCGGTATCGGTGTCGGTGGCCGACCACAGCCACGTGCACGCCGCACGCAGCGCCGTGTCACTCACAACGAGAAGCGCTATCATTCAGGTAGCGCAAACCATTGCACGACTCAATTTAATATACATATATATTAGTGTTTCTTCTCGAGAATTTCTCGGGAAAATTTTTGTTTATTTATTATTATTCATCCTGTATATGATTAAGCCAATATTCTTTTTAAATGAAGAAATTATTATTATAATTACAAATTTTATTACATGAAAAAGAATATAATTGTAATATTAAGATTAATATCTTGTTTTTTAAGAATTGCTTATTTTAAAATAAAAGAAGTGATTTCATTTTGTAAAAGTTTTGTATTAAATAAAAAATAAATTTATAGATTATATTTAACGTTAATTTCTTTTATTTGACAATTTTTGTGCAAATTAAGTGAGAAAAAAATATTTTGTTAATGTTTTTTCTTTTTTTTTGTGTTTTTAAAAATTTTTTTTTTTTTTAATCCTTTCAAAATTCTCGAGAAATATAATTTGATTTATCGCTTCTCAAAAAATAGAAAATATCGAGAAATCTGAAACACTAATATATACATATATACGTATATATATACATATATATAATTTTTCTATTCTTTACCTCGTATTACGCCTAGAGAATTAGAGTTTAGCTCTGCGGCTCATGCGGGATCTACCTAAGTATGTACTTCGCCGACCAGCATTTAGTCATTAGAGACATACGACATTCTTAGTCATGTGTGGATTTTCGTTTCGGTAGGAAACGTTATATTTTCATTAGACATATCCGATGTTGTTTACACATTCATCAAACCAGTGTGCATTTTTGACTGTTCATGTAGTTTTTTTTTTTCTCTTCTCGCCAATTTTTCATCTTTGTTTATTTATTCGTTCTCTCTTATTAGTAATTAATAATAATCATGATATTTTCCTTGTTTTTTTTTTTTTTTTACGTTTCCATTTGATCCAATTATCTAATTTAATCGGAAAATTTATGATAAAAAGAAAAACAATTATAAATAACAAAAGGTTAAAATCTGACTTCCAATTAAAATATTATCGATCTCTTTTTTCGAAGTAACTCTGCTCTTGTGAACTTGATTTTAACATATAAAATTTAATCTTCTTTTTATTATTTTGCTTTATTTATTTATTTATTTATTTTTTTTTTTATAATACAACATTGTTCTTTTAGATTATGTAAAATGAACTCTTTGATATAAATTTGCAAAGAGTGAAGCGGAATTATAAAGGAGAGAAGAGAATAGGGCTCGTCAAGGTACAAGAATCGCGATATTCTCCAAAGAGTTGTCTTTATACACGGGAAAAAAATTTATGAGGAACGCAAGCATCAGACAGGGATCCCTGAATAGCTGACAGGCTGTCGAGCACTCGTTGGATAATTGCGATGCCGTTGGTCCTCGTCTTAATTAAGCGGCGGGCCCCTCGGGCTTCGCACTTCACGGCACTGGCTCCGCTTTGACGATTCGTTGGCAAAAATTTCCCGTGAATCCTACGCTCATTGCGATCGTAAAAAAAAAAATCGTTAGCACGATTAAATTGACTGTGTTATGCCAACTTTATTTTCCGATCAATTTGTAACGAAATGAACAGAATCGAAGTCGAAAAATATCTATTTAATTGGAAGTCAGATCGTCTCATTGATTGTAAATACATGAAATTTTCCATTGTTAATCTTTAATGGACGTTTGTCACTCAGGATTCAATTTATTATATGTAACCCTGGATAATAAGCATTTAAAAAGAAATGAGAAATAAAAAATATTTTCTTAATTGAATGTGATTAATTTGAAATAATAATTTGTTTTTGAATTGATTAAAATATTATTTTGAATATTTATTTAATCTTATAATATACAGTATTTAGTATATTTAGTAGTGTTTAGTAATAGTGGCCATTTTTCAATATGCTGGAGATTTGTATTGTATTTCTCACGACAGATGGCGATCTTATTCAAGAAATACGTGTGAAGTTGTCAGGAAAGACAATAGATATATCCAGAATAAGTGAGAAAAATATAATACCAATGGATTAATGAATGATTCTTCCAATAAAAATAATCCAAACGATATGAATAACGAAATGATATGAATAAAAAAAATTTCGGATATTTGTTTATTTATAATTATATTTATTTCTAATAAAAAAAATCATATATTTAGATTTACTTTTATCATGAGAATCTTATCAATTCATTGATATTTCATTTTTATTAAAACTAAAACAAAAATTATAGAAATTTCTATTTTACTATTTGATCTATTATGATTTTTTTCCGTTCTTATCCATTAATTATGTACATTAGCTGTTTTTTGGTCAAAGTTTAGGTTATGTCGAGTTTGAGATATTGAATTCAAGAACGATAGATTTTTTTTTTCAATAATATGTGCTTTCAAAACTGTTTAATTCTTATCCGAAATATTCTTCAATAAATATTCTTGTTATATCTCATACAATTAAAAAAATATTTTTATTTTTTATTTCAAATATTATTATCCAGCGAATTAAGATTCTTCCAATTATAATACAAAGATATATATTGCTTTTACATTGTTTTTAGTTTCATTTATAAAAAAGAAAAAAGAAATATATTCATATCAAGTAAATGCAAAACAATTTGTGTGTTTAACGTCCAATAATAATGAATTAACGAAATATAGTATCGTGCAACGACACGTGTAAATACATAGTATAGACCCATTTTCAGCGAATCTGTGTTGTTCTACACACGATAGCTGATGATCTGTTATAAGTGTGCACGATTTAGATTTTAATCTCCACGCACGTAGATATAATGTACAGTAACAATTTAATTGTGCTTTATCGATCGAATGAAGAATTAGTCGATTTCGTTACTTTGTTCTCACATTATCGTTTATGTTTGCTTTTTTTCTTTTCTTATTTTTTTTTTTTTCTTTTTTCAACCGTCGATTTCATTCCGCCACGATCTCCCTACGATATTGAAAATGAATCGTAGAGAATCGCGGAATCGAATCGTTCCTCGAGCCATCATCACTTCACGGTTCACGATTCATCCGTAATTATAATCTCAGTAATCCGTAAATCATTCTCATCAGTAGTGATCATATATATATATATGATTATGTATATATATATATATATACACACGTGTGATTCAACCTCTTCATGTTCTATGCCGATTACGGTAATTCTATTTTTACATTTTTATATTTACCAAGTTGCTCTTTCAACATAATTTAAACGAATAATATGGATATTCTCCCCCCTCCCCCTCTCCATTAATTTTGTACATCGTATTCGTTCGATTAAATTATTAAAAATTAAATCAAAAAAAAAAAAAAAAAAAAAAAAAGAATCTTTGAATCGTCGATAAACAAATTCGTTTCTATACGTTTCTAATGTGATTTAATGTTAAATTAAAATTAATCCTGCAATGGTATATATAAAAATTCTCGTACAATATTTATTTTTTGTTATTCTATATCGCAAAACATATATAAAATTTTTTCCCTCCATTTAATTATTAAATACATAACATAAGATGTAACATATGAATTTATCTTTTGCACGGTACATTGCAGGATTAACAGTTTTTCAAAATAATTATTCACTTGTCCAATTTAAAAGTGATCGATATCGATTAGCATAGAGCTTGAAGAGGTTATCATGTTCTTCTTGAATGTAGTTCGCTTGCTTGTATAATCCCTTCGTGCGTATCGATTCGCGCAGAGATGCTTTTACACCTTATAGATACCTTTGTAATTCGACTTAGCCGGGACCGGTTGTTCCACCTTACGGGTGACTCGAGATCGCAGCCAGCCATCCATCGGCATTCTTGCGACTCGACACACTCGCGGATCTGGCCGCAACATCTAGATTTTTCCGTATCGGCTATTAGTCGACTCGTGTGGTGGTTCAAGAATAGAGAATCCGACCGTACCACGATCGTGAACCTCGGTATTTCCTCATATTTGCTCGTCGGGATGGATGATGATTAAAATTAAAATTTATTTCTCTCTCTATCTCTTTCTCTTTCTCTCTCAGAGGAGGAGGAAGAGGAGGAGGAGGAAAAATTTGTTGGATATTTTTAGATATTTTGATAGCGATTAAAATGGAGTTATTTCCAGAGAAATAACAATTTTTGAGAATAAATAGGATGAAAAGTTGTGCAAAGTAATGTAAAATCATTGGTTATCTTATGGATTGTATAAATATTTTATAATTGCGAAATATTCGGAAGTGGAACAGATTGGTATTATTAATTAAAGTAAAAATCTATTTATCATTAGGAAATACAAGAGGATTGAAATTTTTTATTATTTTCTTTCTGAGATGTTCTTGTTAGAAAAAATAAATTGGATTATTATTTCAGATACTATGATTAAGTACAATCTTAAGGATTTATACTTTTTAAAAAAATTATGGTATCGGTAATTTTATGAAAATTATGTTCTGCAATAGTGGAAACGAATCTTTTGCAATTATAAAATACTTTTGTAATTTAATTATCGTAATAATTAAATTTATAACTTGTCTAATGAGAAGAGATCATCACATATATAATTTAGTACATTATATATGTCTTATTTACATTTATTATTTTTACCAGCATCTAATATTAGCATCTATTATAGGTAGCTATCGACTCACATAACAATTATAAGTTTATTTCTTTGCATAGATTCGAACCTAATCCAAATTTCAAATTTAGATAACGAAAAGAAAATTTTTCTAGATATCGATAACGTATCGTATTATGTACTTACGATACGTGACGTCATCGTGAGAACTCTTTTCATTGGACGGACTGTGAAGAAAATCATAATGGCGGTCGAAATAATAATAATCCAATTTTATATACGCATAACTTTTAATTCTATGGATTCATAAAACTAAATTGTTATTTTCAAACTTTATACTCGTTAAATGCTATCAAAAAATGTAAAAATATTACAAATTTTTAATGATAATAATCTTGAAAATATACAATAATGTTTCCAAAGATGGCTTACGAGATATTCGTTATTTGTTTCTTATTTTTTCTATCCTTTTACTTTTTTCTATTGTTTTTTCTTTTTTTTTTTTTTTTAATTTAATAATAATTCTGACCAGTCTTCAAAATGCACTATAATTCAGGAATTTTTAGACACCCGAATCAATTGTGGAGGAAAGTTGCTGATCGTTAAATCTTTTGCGACAAGTTGCTGTGACACGTGCAGCCACTTCTATGGGATCATTGCGAATAATGAACGTTTTCTCTATGAAAGAGACAAAACGAAGTGTCTAGTTGTTTATCCGGAAGATGATAATAAAATGATAATAAAATATTCATTAATATTCACTAAACAAATAAACTCTATATTTTATCGTTTTAAATTTCTTGCTTTGTATTAATTTAATATATGATTTACAACATTATGCAAATATTGTATATCCATTTTTAGTGTTTTCGAGATAAATAGATTTAAAAACAAGATATTTCATAAATAAACTTAAAATGTATTTTTTATTTTATTTTATATGATAAAATTATAACTTGAATTTAATTAATTTAATTTAATTTAATTTAACTTAATTAGATCTTAAATTAGTTAGAATTTATGAAATTATAATAATATATATACATATACAACATAATAATTAATATATGATAATAATATTTAAAAGATAGACATATATTTAACCAAGTAAAGAAAGATATGCTACTTTAAATGATATTATATGAAGAAGAATAAAATAAGTAATAATTGAAAATATTTTCAATTAAAATAATATGAATAAATAAGTAATTATTATTTAATTTAAAAATATTATAAATTGAATAAATGAAAGATAGTGTAAGTAATGTAATATAAATTGGATAAATAATAAACTTAAGCAATGTGTATGGACATCAACAGTTATGTAATTAAAATAATGGATTAGGGAACATATGATAAAAATATTTTTTTTAACTTTAATTCTTATATAATATAAAGAATACTATTTCTTGTATATAAAAATTCAAATTTCAATCAATAAATAAATATGGATATACAATATTTATGCAATATTTATACAATATTAAGCATTAAGATAAATTATATATTATCTATATTGTAACATTCTCAAAATCCGTAAATTTTTCTTGTAATAATAATATTATAGTAATAGTAATAATAATAATAATGATGATGATGATGATGATGATGATGATGATGATAATGGTTATACTTATTTCTACTTACTTAATTATTTTACTTGAGTAAAATCGTTTATCTATTTAAACGATTTGTCAATGATTTTTGTTGAGAAAAAAAAATCTTTATAAAATTGATAAGTATTGATAAGCATTATTTTATCAATTTATTGAAAAAATGATATATATATGGAAGTATATATCATCCATTGTGTATTTGAAATTGCATAAGAATTTACCATCAGCCGGATCATTATTAGAAACGTTTGTTATTAAAAATTCATAGAAGTAAGATGAAATGAAAGACGCAGCATTTTTGTCGGTAATAAAAGCGTAAAAGATGTTGATTTGATGGTTAATTGCATTACCATCAGAGGAATCGCGTTGCATTCCAAACGTCTTTGAAAGCTGGTAGAGTTCAAGTTACGTGGAAGTTGTTCTGTCGCTGAGATTAAATCGCGTCACACCAACCCACCTCCTCTTCCGACCTCCCTGCACCACTGCAGGATTGCGAACAATCGATAAAAGTGAAATCGTCGTCGCAGCTTCCAAAGGTGGAACGACCGATCGTCGATGGCGCCGTTTAGACCCCTGCTCGAATGAACGATTCTCTTCAATCTCCTTTTCCAATCCGTTCTTTAAAAACATATCCAATTTACAGGGGAAATGGAATAATATCGAAACGAATGGACAAGATTAAATTTTTTATATGTAGAATACATTTAATAAATAAATTTTATTTGAAAAAATATTTCAAATTAAAATTAAAGACATGACTCAGTCGATAAGTAAGTTTCTCTAAAAAGAATGTGAATAAATAGAAAAAAAAATATATTTTTTTTATTATTGATTTAAGTAACAAAGATATTCAAATATTACTTTTCAATATTTTTCAACATTTGCAAATATTTATAACAAAAAATTAATTTACTAAATAAATTTTCAAAAAAATTTGACTTTATTAAAAATATTATACAATGTGTATCTCAAACTTTGATAAAAATTTACAATTTTCCATATTTAATATATTGTAATATGCAATTGAAATGATATGATATATGATCAATGAAAATATTAGTCCTATAATTATTTAATAATAATAACTTTAATATTTCTTTTAGAACAAAAATTAATTAGGCAAAGTATAATTTACTTGTGAACTTATGTATATATTTATTTCGAATATCGTTATTTCAATATTAATATTTAAAAATATAGATAATATCGATATTTGAAATAATTTTAAATAATAAATTATTTTCTTAATTTTTTATTTAAAGAAATTTGGCAAAAATAATATATTTAAATAATATATTTTATTTTTTAAAAAATATTTGTCTATTATATTATATTATATACATTTATTTATATTATAAAATATTTTAATATTTCAAATATATCTAAATGTACACTTCATTTTTTCTATTATATATATTATATATTCAAACTTTATTTTTGTAAAATTATTTTAATTTTTTACATTTCAAATTAATCTTCTTGAAACAAATTTTTTTTTAAATTTTATAATAAATGCAACACGATATAATACTATATATAATATCCCAACAAACTTTTTTTTCACTAATATCAGAAACAAAAAATTATAAAAATTCTACAATGTTTATAAAACTTATTCTGAAAGAAATTTTCCATAAAGTTATTTTTACTTTAGAACAATGTCATTACAACAGTTTCTAAAAGGTTAAACGAAGTAAACTGTCCATCCGTCTCGTGCTATTCGTACCGTATCCATTTACACAACACCAGCCCGAGAAAGTGATAATAAAAACAGTGGTAAAATGTCCTTTCTTTGGGTTGTTCAGAGGTAGAAAAGAGACACAAAGAGACCCGATAGAGTACCCTTCTTTTTTTGTCTATGTGGCGTTGTTGTTGTTGTGTTGCATGCAGGAGGCCGGCTAGTACCTGGAGGAATCGCCAGTCCCCCGGGATCTGGCGGCTCCACCGGAAACACCGGGAATTCGAATTCGGCGGCTGCGAGACGCGGCAATCGCAGACTCACGCGCAATGAGAGCCGCTATCATTCCGGTGAGTACATCACAGCTGGATGATTAAAATGGTTTCGAAAAAGGCGAAAAAAAAAAGACGTTAACGGGTCTTTAACCCTCGGACGACGGCGGTTCTGTATGCATTAACCGTTTATTTATCCGAAGCCGCGAACACTCGATGCCGAGAATCGAATGAAACTGTTAAAAATTTATCACTTTGAATAACGGTAATTTTTCGATTATTATCTTTCACTTTTGGAGAAAATCATTGTGGAATAACATATAATTCATACAAAGGAAAAAAATTTTAGATAAATAAGAATATTAATTTTTCTGTTTTAATTACAAAAATTAAAATTATGATAAACAGATTTGATTGTTATGAGCTATAAACTAAATTATATTAAACTTTTGAGCATATTGTAATTACAATAAATATCTTATAACTATAAAAGATGTGGGATTAAAGTTTTGAATTTATCTAATTGATTATCATTTCTTATTAATATAACAATAATTTTCTTAATCTTTGTCTTTTTTAAATGAAATTATATTTATAACATTTCTCTAAATTAAATAAGATTATATACAATATAATTTAGATTATATTTAATAGGTAAAAGAAGTTAAATTTTGTTATATTTGATCTTATTTTAATTAGAGAGTTGATTCGAAAAACATTAAAAAAAATAAATTTTCATTGCATTAATATTATCTCATGAGAATAGTTGATCTTGGATTACGTTACGTGGCTCGAGCATCTTAATATATCAAACAAGATTGTTCTTTCCAATAATATGAATATTGCAGTTATAAAATATTTATGTAATTACTTTTTTTTATACAATATTTTTGTTGTTAAGAAAATGAAACAATTATATAAAAGTTACAATTTTTTTTCTTAATTTTAATAACAAAATTAATATTTTAATATTATATTTAAAATTAAGTTAAAAACACAAAATAAATAAATTTAAAAATTATAAATACAATAAACAACTTTCTTTTATAAAAGTGAACAGTTTCATTCAATTCTTGTTCGATATTCTTGCAAATTGACTTTTACTTCATTGGTTGCTTTTTCGTTTCTTCCTTTCCTTCTTCGTATTAGTCTTCCTAAATGTTTCTTTTTGTTCTTTTTTGTCGATGCTTTTTATATCCCTATAAAATGATTAAAATTCAAGAAGGCAATTGGTTTTATCTTTTTTTTTTTTTTTTTTTTTTTTTTTTTTTTTTTTTTTTTTTTTTTTTTTTTTTTTGGAGATAATGCCTTCTTCCTTTATGTTGTTTTGCACGAATACGGGAGTTGTATTTAAGTATTCCGCGCAGTGGAGCAATTCTGTCGCGAGTAATCACTTGAGGATATTCAAATTTTATGGAGGAATTAACAACGAGGCCGTCGTCGCAAGGGTTAATCCAGCAACCATAGAAACTAGAAGCGACAAATTCTCGATCAATAAAATTTTGCGCTGCCATTTTCATCAACTATCGTATATGATGCGAAATAATTTTCATTTACAATATTTATTCGTTATAAGCTCGTAATTAAGAATCATTCCTGAGCATATATGTGTAAAGAACTTGAAACTCAAGTCTAATCTTATCTTTATTTTCAACGATGTAGAGAATGACAATTAACAAAAGATGAAAACACAAGAAAGAGAGTTCATACATTTGAAGAAATTTACGATGTATTCGATGTTTCGTGTGACTTTGAATTGGTTCACAGCATCGTCACCAGAGTGAGGAGTTTTTTCAATAGTGGGGATGCGCAAAAAACGACTGAGCATATAACGAACAAATACTAATACTCTCATATCGTTTAAAAATTGACTTCTTTTACTTTTTATCAGGCAAATCGATTGAATGTATTGATCGAGAATATGTCATATATCAATTAGATTTTATTAAATAGTAGTCATAATTTAATGTATTTATAGAAACTTAGGTTAGAATTCGCTATGACACGCTTGAAAATCGTAATTTGAATTTGAATTGTTCGTATTGCATTAAGCTCGATTATAACTCGGTATACAAAAACATGCTTTACGAGTGCAAGGAATGTGCTTTCGGTGCGAGTGGTCTCAACTCTGATAAAGCATTTCCTGCGTTTGAACGCGTATGCGTGCAATTACTTTTAAGCAAATCGTTCAACTTGTAATTATTAGATACGATGGAACTGGTCTATTTTTTAGAATTTTATGATTGTGATTATGATATGTAGATATAGTCCTTCTTTTTTTTTTTTTTTTTTTNTTTTTTTTTTTTTTTTTTTGCAAATATTCTTTAAGCAATGTTGATGATTAATTAGTTACTATCTAATAAGTTCGCATACATATAGATTTCATTAATGATTAATAATATTTCAATTAAATGTTTTTTAATATGAACTTGAAATAATTATTTTCTTTATTATATATGAAATGAAATATTTGATATAGATATTATTTTCATGAAATTGAAAATAATCAATTATTGACAACTAACTAAAGAATATAACTACTAATGTTCATATTTGATATATTTTATATTCATTATTTAAATTCAATTTTCATTTTTTTATTCAAAAATATTATTTAAAAATGTAAAATTTTTTTAATAAATTTTTTTTAATAAAAAGTTAAAAAAAATAAATTTAATATCAAAAATTGTTTTTTGATATTAATATAAGTTTATAAAATATATAAATATATATTTAAAAATTTCATTTTTTATATTAACTTTAATTGTTTCTAAAAAAAATTGACGAACTTATTGGATAATGTAGTATATAAAGGAATATTCTTATAGATGAGCAGAAAAAAGAGAATATTTTACAAACTTTTTACAAGAAAGATTACAACGATTATAATTTGAGATATTTATTTCAAATCTAATTTCTTTTTTTTTTTTTTTTTTTTTTAGAAAATATTGCAATTAGTTCTTAGAAGACATTAAAATATATGAAATTGATAGTGAAATTAATCATTCATTTAATCTAAAATTTTTAAATTCAAGAATAAACTTTTTATGAGGAAAATTTTTAATAAAATGTTAAAATTCTAAATTCTAATTTAAATTGTAAATTCTAAATCTTAAGAAAGAAATATTTCATATTTATAGTTGATTTTAACATCGAATTTTAAAAAATATATACATGGAAATTATTAAAATTTCAATTTTTTCTTATTTTTTTATACTTTTTCTATAAAAAAATTCTTGAAGAACGTCTCTTTTATCTTACTCATCAATGAAAAAAACCTGCTTAACGTAGCAAGTATGTATCTATACTAGGCATGGATCAAATATTGGAGTCGAAAGAGCTTTCTTGATCGCTCGCGGATTGATACTGTTACATTGGTGGTGTTCGTCGGTACGGAACGAAAACCGAACGGTTCTCCGTGCGTAAAAGTCCGTATAGGAACTTCATTTGTACAGAGGCAGAGCGAAGCTTGACCGGCACACAGGCAATCTCACAGCTGGTGCACCGTTACTGCTCGATGAGGATGAGCGTGGAGCGCAGAAGATAAGCCCATCAGAGAACGTCTGAATGCGGTTATACGTAAATGCGTTCGGGGAATCAAAAAATCTTTATATCCGTTTTCCTTTTTTTGGTTTCTAATATGCTTGAAAATGCTATATCTTAATTCCAAATTAGAGGAAAATTAATCAAAAAATCTTGATATCTGTTTGATTCAGATACATTCTGTCTTGATATCTATATCTTTCTAAATATCATTTTTAATATAAAAATTTTGTGAAATCGAAAAATTTGTCTATCTATTTGATATATTGTCTTTTGTATTTAAATTTAAAATTGGATAGATGTTACATCAAAAATAACCAATTATGAAATTTATATAATTTATTTAATAAGTGTTATCATATCACTGAAAAATTAATAGATTAAAAATGAATTATTAAACTTAAAAATTAACATGTCTTTAAATGTCATTTTTAATATCAAAGTATCTATGTATGTTATGTTTCTTTGAAAAACTTATCCAAGAGTTATGTCAAATCGGAAACTATACTCAAGAGAGAATGCAAAACAATATTTAAGATTGATTGAATGTAGAGCGAAGCGTAATAAAAGATTAGTGGATTCGGTCAACGAGTCGTTGCATTTCCGGTCTAAGTATATTTCTATCGTTATTACGACATCGTACAACATCGGGACGCAGTTTGTTACGTAGAGCAGTTACTCTGTTGCACGTGAGAGTGTACACGCGTGTATCGGTGGAAATAAGATAATTCGATACGGTGATTTCTTGAAAAATTCTAGATGAATTACTTAGAGGAAATTTTTGTTATGTATAAATTTTCAAATTTTCCGGATTTTTTCCTCATGAAACAAGCTTCACTTTTATAAGCTTCGAAATAAATGAAGTATCTATATCAAGGAAAAAAAAATTTGCCAAGAATTGAAACAATAGATATTGCGTTGAAAGCTTTGCCGCATACGACGTAGATCAAGGTGTTGAACGTAGCAAGATTTTTTCGCGTGTCTTTTCTTTATTAGCTCATAATGATTATAATATATTTACGAAAAACTGTGATCTTGTTCGATTTGATTATTCGACTCTGAAATACACAGAGGTGCGCCAGGAGGCGGTGCAACAAGCTTTGGCAGCAATGCAGGGTCGTCCGAAACCATCTTTACCGATGCCATCAAAAAGAACCTCCGTGATGGCCAGAAGTCCCGACAGAGAGCGCCGCGATAGTGGAGAATCGAGTAGCGATGAAGACAGCGTTGTTACCGAAGAAAGTCCTGGTGCTGGTGGTCCAACGGGTATATGTCCTTCAATCTTATTCTCTCTCTTGGTTTCCTTCTTTTCGATTACTTCATGACTATACATATTTGTTCGGCTAGCTGAGCTTCATCGTTTATCTATTTGCATTCGGCAAATGATGGAACTGGTTATGCGACTTTTCCATTGAATGAAGAAACTGTTTGTATTCGTGTACTTAATGCAAATCTGTTGTCGCGATATTCGTGACAAGAGATTTGTTATATACGGTGAATGTTGAATAATTGCAAAAGATTGGAAAACGAAACTTTGCAATTATCCAACAAAGATATTTATTCTTCTTTTTAAAATGCCTCGATGGAAAGAACAATTAAAGAGATAAAAAGAAAGATCGAAAAAAAATATATCGGTGAAACAGTACTAATAGTTACAAACATTTATAATGCAATTGTTTATCAATTTCAATGATCTTAAAATATATTGTCAACATTAACCAACATTGAATTCATTTATATATATATATATATATATAATGGCTTGGCTTTCAAATTTCAAATTGTATAAAAAAATTTGGTAGTATATACGTATTTCTGTTTCTTCTAATAGATACATACTATTATTGATCTGGCAATAAGATCTTACGGTATTTGGAAAGATATAACTTGACATAACCTAACTTTGCTTCATTAAATGCACATTATTAAACAATTATAATTTAAAATAGAAAATGAATATTGAAAGTTACGATTTCTTTTTCAACAATCGTTTATGATATGAATATATTTTTACATATATCTCAGAAATTTAGCCAAACAATAATTAATACATATATATAAGCAAAAGTTACTCAAAATATTGTGCTTGACTATATATTTTGATCATTGAAATCGATAAAGGCGATCAACATATTTTGAGATTTCTCTGCTTAAAATAAAATCAAACACGATATAATATGAATGATATGTAATAGATTAAAATTAAAATTATTTATTAAATACGTAAATACATCGTGTTTGGTCTCGTTCCGATCAGAGAAATCTCAAAAAAAAATACATTATTGAAAATTTTACTTTAAAAAAATTATAAAATGAAATAAATTTACCATTGCAGTAGTATTGTCTCACCGATATTTGATCTCGGATCGGATTACATTGCTAGCATATCGTGCTTCGCGATGTGTTAAGAAGATTCCTTCCCAGTGGTGAAGAATTTTTTGCAATTACACCGTAGGTCGCTTTTGCAGACATAAAATATCGATTGAGTAGCTTATTAAGCATCATCAGAGAAATAATACTAGAGAGAAGTGATTCATGGGGGGGGGGAATTTTAGGCACAGGACTGTCGGATACCAGCAGCACCGGTTCGGCGCGAGACACGCCTCCGCCTCCGAGACCACCGGCTAGGAGACCTCCTGGTGCGGACATTACCGACATCGCGGAATACACGCCCCATGCGTACTGTAACATCCAGCCCCCGGACGTGACACACACAAGCAACACACCGGCCGCACAACAGTCGGCCAGGCGACCGGGCGCCGACCGTGTCAATCGTTACCATGTCGTCGAGGATCAGAACAACACCGGGACTACCGGGCGTTGGAAAGTATCAGCGAAAATTCAACAATTGCTCAATACATTGAAACGACCGAAACGTCGTCCCTTGCCCGAATTCTACGAGGACGATGACATCGAGCTCGAAATCGCGGCCAATCCCAAAGATCCGAACGCCCCGAAACCCGAGGGCGGTTCTATGACCTCCGCGGTCGGTGAACCAGTATCGGTCGCTGCGGGCCTGCCGAGGTCACTCGAGGTCGCCATACAGAGGTAAGCAACCGGACGAGTCGATTACACTTTTCAACTTTCTTCCTTTTTTGTTTTTAGGTACAGTGGAATATTTATATGAATTATAAAATTTTAGTAGTAATCTATTGTCTCAACTATTCTTATGTGAATTTTTAGCGTTAATTTTTTTCACTCCATTTATATTATTAAGTTTTATAATATTTATAATATTCGTAAATTTTATCATCGATTGAAGTAGAAAAAAATTACAAATACTTATTTTTTTGCCTTTATTATTCAATACCTCGGATGTAAACTATATCTATTTACAAAAGTATTGAATAGATGTAGTAAAAGTAAGTTAGAAAATTATTAAGCTGAACATGATGACAATGCTCTTCCGCGCATATTAAAAATAAAATATTTTTGCAGAAATTCAAATTTCTATAATTTTTATCTTGTCGTTTTAATCTGATATAAATCGGATAGAATTAAATTATTTTTAAATAAAATAAAAATTATAAAAAATATTTACAATTAAATTGGACTATATATTTAAATTGAATCAGTCTATTATGTATTTTTTTTACTTGTTTTTCTTATATCTATATTTATTTATCTATACCTTATATATATTTATATCATTGAATAATTATTGCGTTTGCAAAATTGTTAATATTATGAATTTTAAATACAATTTAAAATACTCTCATATCACAATTCATTTAATTATTATTAACTGTACGAAAAAACATATTGGGAAAAATTAGATAAATTTCATATTATATTATAAATCTGTTTGTCTTTTAATATATTCACATAAACTTTTATTTTTACTTTATTTAAAAATAAAATATTATTTTTTATTTTATTAAAAATGCGTTTTTCTGTAAATATAAGAGGAAATAGAAATTTCATGTTATAGAATTTAATTTTGTTATAAAAATTGGATTATATCTCGAAAAAGGTTTAACCCCTCTATTGCATGAATTTTTATGACGAATTGAAAAAAATATATATAACTTAGTCTACTTAAAAATGAGTGTGGTCATGAAATAAATAAAAACAGCATTCTTATTTTTTAAAATATTAACATGAGTGTATCCCCGTACGTATTTTGCACTCATATGGGAACACATCTTTGAAATTTAAGTCCCCAATTGAGAACAGAATGCAATAGAGGGTTAACACTAGTATAATATCTCGAAAATATTTCACGAAATATTTACATCGCAGGTATGGTTCGGCATCATACAAAGCACCAGTGGCGACCGTTCTTGATCCAAATGGCAAGCTTTGCGTAACATTGACCTATGGAAAACTTCTAAGTCGTTCTCACAAAATAGCCTACACACTGTTAAACAAGGCTCTAAGTCGTGGCGGTGATTGTTGTTTGAAACCTGGCGATCGAATTGCCTTGGTTTATCCAAACAACGATCCAATAAGCTTCATGTGCGCCTTCTATGGTTGCCTTCAAGCTGGTATTGTACCTGTGCCCATCGAAGTGCCCCTAACTCGTCGAGACGCAGGTTCCCAGCAAATCGGTTTCCTCTTGGGCAGCTGTGGAATTCAGGTGAATTAAGAAATAATTCTGTTAGTAATTATTTAATATAGGAGTTATCTCATCACACATTTTTATGATCTCTTAAGATTATTATTTTTAATAGTAAAACAACTTTTTCTTATACGTATAGAAATATACATTAAAATATTTTATAACACATTTTATATGACATCATATTTTTAAGATCTGGAACGGATTTGAATTTAGATTAGATAAGGATTGAATTGCATTTTTAATCCAAGAACAATTACGCAGAATTTGAATTTATTGTGAATTTATTTATCCTTATTCTATTGAAACTCAATCAAAATTACTAAACCAATTTCATATAATTATTAACTAGTTCTTGAGATTTTTATTAAATTTAAGCTAATCCATTCTGAATATCTAAATACAATATCCAATCCTACTTCATTTTAAATTTCATAAAAATACTTACAAACATGACATGGAGAATAAAAAATATTTTTGTACGCATTTCAAAAATTAAGCAATGATCATATGCACAAAAAAATATTATTGAGTGACAACTCAAGTCATTATAAAAATCTGTTAAACTGATTACTAATTTCCATAATTTTCTAATAATTTATTTTTGAATATATATCATTTCTAGGTGGCATTAACCAGCGAAGCTTGTCTGAAAGGTCTGCCAAAGACGGCTGCAGGCGAGGTAGTAGCATTCAAAGGTTGGCCAAAGCTTCATTGGTTTGTCACAGAGCATTTGGGCAAAACGCCGAAGGATTGGCTACCACCACCTCGGTTAACCGACGACACACCGGCGTATATAGAGTATACCACGGACAAAGATGGGTCGGTGATGGGAGTGACAGTGACAAGATCGGCGATGCTGGCACATTGTCGAGCTCTGACGCAAGCCTGTGGCTATACGGAAGGGGAGAACGCCGTGTGCGTTTTGGACTTCAAACGAGAGGTTGGTCTGTGGCATAGCACCCTCACCAGCGTTCTGAACGGGATGCACGTGATTTTTATCCCATATGCTCTGATGAAAGTAAATCCTGCGAGTTGGATGCAAATGATCACGAAGCATCGTGCTAGCGTAGCTGTGGTCAAGTCTCGAGACCTTCACTGGGGTCTTTTAGCCACTAAAGATCATAAGGATATCTCGTTGTCATCACTGAGGCTGTTGCTGGTTGCCGATGGTGCTAATCCCTGGTCTCTTTCCTCGTGTGACCAATTTCTCTCAGTTTTCCAGTCTAAAGGCTTGCGACCAGATGCTGTCTGCCCTTGTGCATCTTCCAGCGAAGCTCTAACAGTATCGGTCAGGAGACCAGGCCGAGCTGGAGTAAACGCTACTGGACGTGGTGTGCTCTCTATGTCTGGATTGAGTTACGGTGTTGTTAGAGTAGATCAAGAGAATTCTCTTACCTCTTTGACTCTTCAAGATTGCGGCCAAGTCATGCCCGGAAGTAAGTTTTAGCACAAATATCCATGTATAGTAATATTTGATTAATTGTCGCACAATGAGAATATGTATCTTAAGTTTCTAAATATGATTTAAAAATTCGAGTTCCAATTTTAAGAATTACTGAGTTTCACAGTAAATAGATTTAAATGAACACAAAGTGTGAGAATTAATCAGACTTTATATTGACTTTTGATTATTTAAGAGAAAGTTGCACTAAATTAAATTATTAAATATAAATAAACTTGATATTTGAGACATTTATTATTGTGTGATTAATGTCTTTTCTTGAAAACAAAATAGTTTGTTATATGATATAATTTAAATTTAATTTAAAGAATTCTTTAATCTTACATTCTCTGAAAATATTATATTTGTGAGTGAAAATAAGAATAATTAGAAATTAAAATAATTTCTAATTGTTAACTTTCAATAATAATATTTGAGTAATTAGAAATAGTTGTATGTTTACGATTATCGCACAACAAGGACAATAAATTTTTTTCTTTTTAATATAATTTGATATATTAATAATATATAATATTTTTTTTATCATATTTGTATTTTTGTATTGTAAATTTATTTTTCAATTTTCTTTATATCATTTCTTAATTGTTATATATAATAATACATTAAATATGTATATATATTAAATATACATTACGTTGCATATATGATAATACATATACATTATTTTGTTAAAATTGTATTTGTAAATTATAAATATCTTAAATTGATCATAACTTACATCAAATCTATCTGATATTTGAAAAATGATATTTATAACTTGCATGAAATAATTTCTTCAAGAAGAAATATCGTATTTCGACTTCCCAACACTTTCATAATAATTAAAAAAAAAATCAAATTGACAATGCTTTTCTTCTCTAGGTATCGTAGTGGTAATCAAAATGGAAGGACAGCCATTCATCTGCAAAACGGACGAAGTAGGCGAGATATGCGTGCATAGTTCAGCAACTGGAAACCAATATTGGGGATTACAAGGATTGACAAATAACACGTTCAAAGTTTCCCCTCTTCAAGCCGATGGAAGTCCGCTTGGCGATGTGGAATACACTCGTTCTGGTTTATTGGGTTTCCTGGGTCCTGGTGGTCTTGTGTTCGTTTGCGGATCGCGCGATGGTCTTATGACTGTCACCGGAAGGAAGCATAACGCCGACGATATTATCGCTACAGTGTTGGCCGTCGAACCCATGAAATTTATTTATCGCGGAAGAATAGCCGTTTTCAGTGTACGTGTCCTGAGAGATGAACGAATATGCGTCGTCGCGGAACAACGACCCGATTGCAGCGAAGAGGAAGTATGTTTTTTTTTTATTTTACAAAATTCGAATCGTTATTTACGTGATACGAACTCTTCTCTATATATAAAACTTATTACCACAGAGTTTCCAATGGATGTCTCGTGTCCTTCAAGCGGTAGATTCCATTCACGCGGTTGGAATATATTGTTTGGCATTGGTCCCGCCAAATTATCTTCCGAAAACACCGCTAGGTGGCATTCATCTGTCGGAAACGAAACGACGTTTCTTAGAGGGTACTCTACATCCGGCTAATGTTCTTCTTTGTCCGCACACTTGCGTTACCAATCTACCGAAACCACGCGAAGTCCATTCAGGTAAGAGATTGCACATTCACCTGTGAGTACTATTCCCGAACCAGGTGTCGATTAAAGTTACGGACTTTCGATGAATTACATGAATGTCAGCAAGTACAAAGACATATATACACTTTTTTTTTTTTGTTGTAATATTACTTCGTTTTTTTCTTTGCGTATTATAATTTAAGCGAAAACCCAAGAAATCGATATGAAAAATTGAATAATTCAAAATTAGATTTGATTTGATGATCGGTAAAATTGGAAAAATTTATCAATTTTTTGGATAATTTCGCTTAAATATATATATATGAGAATGATTAATGGGAGAATGAATGAGCAGTTCTTTTTATTATTAATTCGCGCGAATTACCGAATTTCGCTCTATTCAAAAATTCTCATTAACGCGAAGGAACGTAACACTTATACGCTTTCTTATAAAGTTATCAGTAGGCTTCAGTAACTTAGCACAAATGTACAAAGTATATAACTGTCTCTTGCTACATATCATGTATTGTTAACCCACCCAACTAAAATATTTAATGCTTAGCATGTTGTTCTATTATTTTTGCCCTTCTTTCTTTTGGCTGAGTTCCGAACACCCTGTAGTAGTCCTATAGACAAATTATTTCTTAGCGATGTGAGATTTTTTTCTTTTATCTTTTTTGTGTATATACAAACGTATCTTAACTTTTATGCGCACCTATGATCAAGCATATTTTTTATACGAATGCTTTTAATTAATTTCACATCGCTATTTTCATCGTACGTTTGAAGAAGCACTGAATTATTTTGTTTATTAAGTATGTACAGTCCATGGAATGCCCAAAGCACGTCTATTATAAAGAACGTGCGTTAATCACCTTTCGACAATAACGAACCAGTTCACGTACCTAGCTTTGATTTTCCGGCCTCAGTCAGGGGAGAGTGTGTGAGCTACTCATTATTGGGTTGAGTGTTTGTGTTGGTTTACTAACGGAATGGTGCGGGGGCGTGTAGCGGGGGATTCTGTTGCAGACGTTGGTCCGGCCAGTGTCATGGTGGGCAACATTGTTCAGGGTAATAGACTGGCATCAGCTCAAGGACGAGATATGGGTGTTTTAGATGAGGACAGTGATAATGCTAAAAAGGTTAGTTGATATAATTTTGATAATTGTTTAGAAAAAGAGTTACTCAATTTTTATAATCTTGAAATATGTTATTAAGATCATAATTCCGAACAATTTTTTCTTAATAATATATAATGCATATCGATATCAGAATCTATAATATTTCAAGATCATCAAAATAGTAATTTCATAAATATGATCTTTTAATATTTTTTTTGTAAATAATTATTATATTGTTTTTTTAATAGGAAAAAAATTTTTTCTTATCTCTTCTTATATATAATATATAATATAATATAATATATATATATATATGTATTATTTTGTTATTTATATATTGCATTTTGATTTTCAGTATCAATTCATTTCGGAAATACTGCGATGGCGTGCTGTCAGTACTTCTGATCATGTAATCTTCACGTCATTAAATGCAAAAGGAGCTGTAGCAACTTCTTTGTCATGCTCGCAGTTGCACAAAAAAGCGGAACGAATCGGAAATCTGTTGTTAGATCGTGGAAGAATCAATACCGGAGACCACGTAGCATTAATATTTCCTCCTGGTACAGACTTGATATGCGCATTTTATGGTTGCCTTTATGTTGGCGCCGTGCCAGTTACAATTAGGCCACCTCATCCACAAAACCTCCAAACTACTTTACCAACTGTTCGTATGATTGTGGACGTCAGTAAGTCTGTGCTCGTGCTCACGAATCAAAATATCCTGAAACTATTGAAAACAAAGGTACATTGATATATTGTGTTTCTAATATATATTCTACGTGATGTAATTAAAGTTTTGTTTTTAACTCTTTAACTGCTAAATTTAAATATTATTTAAATATTATATAATTTAAATTTTATTAAATTTCATTTATTAAACGAGACTAAAAATATATTAAATTATGAAAGCAGTTAAAGTGTTAAATTATGTTAAATTATAAATCATTAATAATTATTTTCTATAATACAATACAGGAAGCGAACAATGTTGTTGACATTAAGAGTTGGCCAACAATCCTCGATATGGACGACATGCCAAAGAAGAAGTTACCTGTTATGTATCGAGCACCCACGGCAGAGATGCTGGCTTACTTAGATTTCAGTGTCTCTACAACAGGAATGCTTGCAGGAATTAAAATGTCTCATGCAGCAGTGACGTCTCTTTGTCGTGCCATGAAACTTGCCTGTGAATTGTATCCATCCAGGCATATCGCTTTATGTTTAGATCCTTATTCTGGATTAGGATTCGCCCTTTGGTGTTTGAGTAGTATATATAGCGGTCATCATTCCATACTTATACCACCATCAGAGGTTTGTTCCTATAAACTATTCGTAAACACGAGAATTAAAGAAATGTTTTTAATATCTTTCTTTGTAGGTTGAAGTTAATCCAGCCTTGTGGTTATCAGCAGTTAGTCAATCCAGAGTAAGAGACACGTTTTGTTCTTATGGTGTAATGGAGTTATGTACCAAGGGTCTCGGTTCTTCTGTTCATGCTCTAAAAGCAAGAGGTGTTAGTTTGGCCTGCGTCAGAACGTGTGTTGTCGTAGCTGAAGAAAGACCGCGAATCGCACTTACTACGAGCTTCAGTAAACTTTTCTCTGCTCTGGGTTTAAGTCCACGTGCTGTCTCTACCTCTTTTGGATGTAGAGTAAACACAGCTATTTGCTTACAGGTTTGATTAACATATCATATAACAAAATATTAATGTTTTTATTATTTTTAATTTATTAATTTTGTTGGAATAGGGTGCATCGAGTCCAGAACCTTCTACAGTATATGTTGATCTCCGCGCATTGCGCAATGACAGAGTATCTCTAGTTGAAAGGGGTAGTCCACATTCTTTATGCCTGATGGAATCAGGTAAATTATTACCAGGAGTGAAAGTGATTATTGCCAATCCAGAAACGAAAGGACAATGCGGAGATTCTCATTTAGGAGAAATTTGGGTGCAATCTGCTCATAATGCCAGTGGCTATTTCACGATATATGGTGACGAGAGCGATTACGCTGATCACTTTAATGCCCGTCTCGTAACTGGGAATACAAATGAAGTTTATGCCAGAACTGGTTATCTTGGTTTCTTAAGACGTACTGAAAGCGTTCAGCAATCGGTTATCAGTGATATTCCCGGTGATACTTCTGCCGAAGCGGATCTTGTTCCTGGCGATTCTGAATTACATGATGCTGTGTTCGTAGTCGGTGCCCTCGATGAGGCCATTCTACTCAGAGGAATGCGATATCATCCGATCGACATTGAGAATAGCGTGATGAGATGTCATAAGAAAATAGCAGAATGGTAAGTGTATGTAAATGCAAGCGTGTTGAAAATTGTAAATCAATTATTACAATAATATTATTAATAAGAAAAAAGCAATATTAAATATAATCCAAAATATAATCTATAATGCTTCTCTTGGTTATAAGTAATACAAAATATTTATACAATTCACAGTGCCGTATTTACATGGACCAACCTCCTAGTAGTAGTGGTGGAACTTGACGGAAGTGAAAGCGAAGCTTTAGATCTCGTGGCATTGGTTACCAGCGCTGTTCTAGAAGAACATCATCTGGTAGTCGGTGTAGTAGTCGTGGTGGATCCTGGAGTAGTTCCAATAAATTCGCGTGGTGAGAAGCAACGAATGCACTTGCGTGATGGTTTTCTAGCGGACCAACTCGATCCAATTTACGTGGCATATAATATGTGAGCAGAAAACACAGAAAATGCATTATCTACTGAACAAAAAAAGACTGGTATCGTAGTTTCCAGTCATGTTTTTATTCCCATGTCGACACGTAGATACTCCCGATTCGAAATCATAAGCTGCATTTCAAATTTTTATTCTTTCTCATGGAAGTCGACTTTCCTACGGAGAAACTGGAATATATTACAAGGACTCAACGTATTTTTAAAGCGAACGTCGTCCCTAAACAATTTATATTCTTCTTTTGTAAGAAGAACGCGTATATTTAAATTTTTTATCTCGTTAATATGTTAAAGAAGAGTAAGAAAGTTTGTAATACTTCGAAATTTTCACTCGGTTATCACCAGTCCTTATCATTAGTAACAGAAAGTATTTCTTTCTGTGTTAGAAATAATCATTATATGAACAACTATTAGATATATAATTTTATATATAATTGAGAAACAGGGACGATATAAAAAAACCGCTTTATATATTCTGACAAACAATTTATTCATAAAAAATTACCAATGAAGAATTCTGCTTCAAATAATGATAATCTTGAAACGACATTCGAAGCATTATTAAAAGACTTAAAAAAGTAACGAGATTTACATAATTGCACATACAATATTAACGATTCTAAAGTCACAAAAAAAAAAAAAGTATAGTGAATCAACAAAATATTTGCATATTTTTTTTTTTTTGAAATATCATTACAAACGAAAGTAACATATTAATATAATATATTTTTTAATATGTTTTAATATATAAAATTGATATGTACTTTCAAAACTTTCAATTCTAAAAATTTATAATTATTTAAATTATTTTTTTATAAAACAAATATATAAAACAAATATTCATTATTTTGTGCGTATGCTTTTGGTATTAATAGCGTATAATGACATTTTTCCAAGATATATATGCAAATAATTATGAATAATTACAAGTGTGCCAATATTTTTCTTATTATTATCTTATAATTATAAAAAATTTGTTTTTTTTTTTTTATTTTCTTTAACGTAATTGAAAGATTTGAAAGTATGTGTTAGTTCCATATATTGAGAAATATTAAATATACATTTGTATTAATATATCATTACAATGTATAAAAATATTTCAAAAAAAGAATGTGTGCTAATATTATTTTGATTCACTATATATGAAATTAATTTTCAGTATCTTAAAACTTCAGACTGCCACGGACAAGTATATACAGCTCAGACATGATTCAGCTGTTTTCGCTAAAATCGTGCTTTTATACATTGTATTATCTGAATGTTAAAATGACGAATATCATTCATTATTTATCAATGACATCAGAACGGTAGTGAGCTTTTTTACAAGATGAAAAATGAAAAATATTATTTTAACAGAAGTGAAACTTTAACAAGTATATTTCATTAAGAAATTATACTCTATGAAAATGTGAATAATTATTCCACAAACTACGTACAGGTATATATAACTATGTCTATTAGAAAAAGTAAATGAATTTGATACACTTTATCGTAGAGTCGTGTAGCTTAACAATTTTTTACTACATAAAGTAATGGTTAGTTAACATAATCATACATATTGTAACATTTTAAAGTAAAAAATTTTAACTATTAACATTTTTTCTAATATATTGTTGCTGGAAAAGTATATGCAGTTCGCTATCGCTCTGACTAACTAATTTTATTATTATACATTTCGTTTAAACAAATTTCTATGTTGTTGATATCTTACAACGATTTCATATGAATCGATTTGAAAATATGACCGAGTGATTTCAAATTAGCAAGAAATTTAATTATATTTAGCTGCGTTGCGCACAACATCGCACTTTTATACGTTTTAAAATATTTATATTATATTCTACAGCACGTAATAAATTTGAAATACGGTATGATATTTATTCCAATGTACTTCTTTTTTATTAACGTCCAAAAATATTTTTCTTTTTTTTTTTCTATATTGAAAAAAAAAGTACATAGAATAATATATTTTTAACTTTGTGAAATTAGAAAATGATTTATTACGTGCTGAGAGGGTACACTTTAAAAACTATCTGAAAACCCGATTACTTGGCCAATTTTTCCATAAAAAAAGAGACTAGGACAACAGTAAGGCGAATTCGCATCTCAGGGTTTTAGATCGTTTATACAAACGATGATATAGAAAGTGAAACTATTTAGAACAAAGTCTTTTGGATAACGTTTAAAATAAAAAACAAGGAATACGATAGCACAAAGCATTCAAACAAATATACAATCGAAGTAGATAGTATCGATGCGTCTTACTCTGCAATTTCAAACTTTAGTCTATATGGAAAAGTTACCCTCGAACTATAAATATCGGTGAATATATGCGCCAAAAATTTACATATGCGCTAACTTTCTTTTTCTTCTTACCTTTTATGCACAAATGCATTCTATTCGTGAAACTGGTCTATTTGACTAAAGCTCAATCTATATAAATCAACAATACTACGATAATAATCGACTTTTAGGTTAGAATTAATCGAATCGATGATCATATTTTATTTTTTATGTTATTAATTATACAGAATATTGGAATACTTATTTTAACTTCAAAAGTTTGATCGATGAAAATTATCTTTGCGTTTTATTTTATTCATTAACTAAAATTTTCATTTAATTTTCGTAACTAAAATTTCATTATATATAACATAATTTCAATAATCAATTTTTTTTATTTCTTATAGATTACATTATATTATATTTAGTCTTATAGATTATATTCCTTTTGTATTCTCTTATAATTAAAACAGATTATTTATTCTCAAATTAAGAAAAAAGAAACGAATGAATTCAGATTACAACGAGTAAAATATTGAGAATGTATAGATTATCGTTGGCCTATTCATAACTTTTTACAATTCTGTTCTTTTATTTTGTCTAATAGTAAATTAGAAAAAAAATCAGAATTCCAATTCAAACCTAAAAGTCGAAAGTCCTATCGTTTCCTTCCTCGTTTCTTGAAATTTTATTATTTTTGAGACTTTTTCTATTGATATGTACATTTGTTGATAGTTTTATAATTTTATATTCTTATTTTAATGTAACACATATAACTACAAGATGTGCACTATTTCAAGAGCACTGATTGTTGCAGAGAGAAACACATTGCGATTAAAACGAAGCAAATTTGTCAATTTTTTTTGTGTTAAAGGCTCGTATTAAACTTCGTATGAAAATAGACACGTATCACTATTCTACATATCATAATCTTATTTTTTTTATTTCACACTATAAAAATGTAATTCAATTTATTCAAGATTTCAATTTGAATTGCATTATTAACAATTTCTTTTAATATATAAAATTTTATATAAAATAAAAATAAAATTAAGGCCTATTTTTAGAATGAATAAATATTTTGTATAATGTTTTTTGTGTAATAATTATATTATTATATTTTGAGTCTATTTAAGATATAAAATCTTTTAAATCTCAATGTGTTTGAATAAAAAAATTAATCGCACAAGCGTGTCTATAGTAAATACGAAGTCGTTAAATAAAAATACGAGCCTCATAGTTGAAAGACGCTTTATCGGCGAACAATTACGATTATCGACGATAACCTCGTTAGCGTGCGTAATTCACAAATTATAATTATCCCAGATTCCGGGCGTCCATTTACAGGCGTCATGTAAATAGATATAGAAACAGGCGTATTAGAAATCTTTTTTTTGACACGTCTTACATTTCTGACAATTACTGTACTCGTATATGCAAACACAATTTTAATGTTTGTTAATATAAAAGTATTTGATTATAAATTTTCTTTTAGCTAACTTTGGTAACTCATGTAACACAGTTAGTAAAGAATCAATAATTATTTGATATTCACAATGAGAAGAAAATGTAAAACGTTTCAAGTTTTAAAGGTTAAGCACGGTTTTATCGATTCGTTTCCTCCTTCTCTTTTCTTTTTTGTTTTTTTTTTTTTTTTTTTTAATGATTAAGGTATCGTGCCATGTCACCTTGCGTCCTTTTGCACTTTTACGCACAAAGAAACGTCCGTGATAACGATGTGCATTGTCACTTTACATAATCACACATCAGTGTTCACCGATATTTTATTTAAATAATAGCTGAACAATGAGATTCTCAAAATATTGAATTATATACAAAATATACACACAAATTTGAGAATCCGCGCAAAAACGCTTCTTTGTACGTAAAAGATCTAGAAACACAGCGGTGCACCCCGATCACAGTAGGAATGTGCAGCGTCAGGAAATTTTTATCAAATTTGACTAAAAAAAAAAAAAAAGAACCCCGTTATTTTATGTATTACATAGTAAAGATTTTTTTTCTCTTTTTATTCCGATTATACTAACTACTTACGAAATGTCTTCGTATCATTTCCAAGTACAAATCGAAATCATATTTTTCTCACTTGACTGTTCATTCATTTATTATGTAATCGTCTATTTAATGATCTGTACATCTTCAGGGTATTTTTACCGAGCTATATAACTGAGTGAGAGAAAGAGAGCGATTGAGAGTTTTTTCCACAAAAATGTTTCATTGTAAAGAAAGTATTTTTCATTGATGAGTATATACCATGATAGATTTGTGCGATAATTTGTTTGATATTTATATAATACACGAATTAACCGACCATCCGCTAAAATGGGGTTATGTTACGAGAGAATCGAACGAAAAAAAAGAAAACGTTACGCAATCCTACGAGTGGGGCTGAGAGTGCGTGCGTGCGAGGAACCTGGTTGTATTATGTATAAATGTTGATAACTAGTTGATAGGAACGTGAAAAATACTTGTCACACCGTTAAATGATTGCGTATTATCGCGTTCAATTTAGAACAAAGAGGTTAAGTTAGACTGATTGTCAAATCTTTGGACCTCTTTGAAAAATGGTATATCGCGTAATCCTGGACCGTGTCAAGTGGTTCTAGGCTGTGTAAATATTATCCTTGTACCCATTGCGTTTAGAGGTTATTAAGGTACAATATAGTTTGTACGTTGAAATATATATTATATATATATAAATATTACCACACACACAGAGTACTAATATAAACGGTCGCTGTCCTTACCGTAGAGCATTTTGCCTGTATCAATCGGATGAAAATATTAATATTTCGTGTATTCATCTCTCGTTATCCAATATTATTCCGTTTTTCATTCCTCCTTATCTCTTCGATTGAGACGAGGGAGGAATGAAATAATAATTGAAAAGAGGACAAACGCGAGATCGAAAAACGATATAGACATCATAGTAATTTCTATAGTCCGTAGCGGACTTTTTCCTTGTTAAAAAAAAAAAAAAAAAGAAAAAAGGAATGAAAAAAATGCAACAAAGGACATGATTTGAGTCCTTACGGAACGATCGTGTACTACCGTATCACGTGTTGCTTCGTAAATTACTCGACCCTTTAAATCAAGCGCCTCTTTGTAATCACTCGATATTCACGAGGAGCTTCGCGAGCTACCATCAATAAACGTAATGTACATTTTTTGCAACGAGCCAGATTGTTTTACGTTTCCCCATTATACCTTTCTTTACATAAAACAAAATAAAAAAGTGTCGTATTATTTATTAATAAAATCAAAAATATAATATTTAGATTAAAAAAAGCTTTATTTTTATATTTTATTTTTGTTCAAATTTGAATTTTGTAGAGAGAAAAAATTTATATAAGAAGATTAATTTTTAATTTTTAAAAATTGTTTTATTTTTATCAATTAATTAATATTTTTTTATAATTATATCGCATAATTTATTTGATTATTAAACGTATGCAAAATTCAAATTGTAAATAATACATAATTAAAGAAAAAACTATTGCAATAATCATATTAATTTTATTTTTATTTTTATTTATAGAAATATTTTAAAATATTATATTTTTATAAAATATGATAATTATAATATTTATTGATTAATATTTAATGATTAAACGATAACTTAAATCTTGATAAACGGAAGGTAAATGACTATAAACTGATTATTCTGTTATCTATAAATATAAACATACATTCTAGTATACATAAAAAAAACTATAATTTATATGTAAAATCGTGGTTTCATATCACGTAAAATAATAATTATAATATAAGTATATATATATATATACTTATATATATATATATAGTTATATATATATATAAACTGAAATTCATAAAAAAAATATATATATAATTTTTTTATTCCTTTGCAAATATTTTTGAAATCAATGAATTTTTATTTTATTTATAAAAATATAATTGATATAAATCTTAAAAATCTTAAAATTAATATAAATATAATAAATATAAATGATATAATATATTATTTATAAATATATTATATCATTTATAAATATATACAATATAAATATATCATTTATAAAAATAATCATAAACTTTAATTCATAACAATTTCAATATTATTATAAAATTGATTAATTTTGTTTCTTAAAAATGTTCATTTCTCACTGCAGTTGAACTACATGTACATTATGTCTGTTAAATCAAAGTTTGGTCATCATACATACATCGGCCATCTATACGAGAACAAATAAAACACATTTTAAATGAAAATCCGTTGAATCTAATTTAACAACAAAATTAAAGATAATTTCAAACATTTATGTAATACATGATAATAATACAAAATTTAAATTTTTAACTTCCCATTAAAAAAATAATCTATTAAAAAACGATTTTGATTAAAAATAATTGTAATTAATTATAATTACGAAAATCACCACTGTGTATAGAGGCACAAATTTGAGAGAACGGCAGTGCGTAACAGGCTTTAAACTACACTAGTTCGGAGGTTTTCGCGCGATAAACAGCGAAGCGCCATGATTGGTCGGCGTAGAAATTTGATTCCGTTTCATTCTTTCCTTTTCTTTCTCTCTGTCTCTCTTCTGGTTCGCGTCCACCGGCCGGCGTTAAAGAAAGACCGAGTAACGTTTCCCCAGGGAAGTCGTAAACGACGTCCAGAGAGACTCGAACCGAGCAGTTCCGAACAGTCTGTCAGAGACGGTGCTTTCGCGAACACGATTCTCGTGCGTCGCTTCGTAAACGTGTGTGTACCGGTTCAAAAAAAGTTGTTACACACAGCTTCTACTAGACCCCTGGCAACGCGTTGTCGCTTGAAAACAATGACTGTACGTTCCAGTGGTTAGAAGTAACGAAGAAATTACTGGCACATAGCATTCAAACCGTCTTTTTTTTTTGATCGAGGCCAGACGGCCACACTAGCTCTAGGAACGGCTCGACGCGTATCGATCTCATACAAGGGTATGTAAACATTTCGATTTTTCTTTTCTGATCGATCGTTGCTCATCAGGTGAAAGGTTTTCTTTAATCCAGAAGATTCGATCAACATTTCGAGAGTAATAACTTTGTGCTTAACTTTTATATACTATTAAAATATGCTGTTTTGTTGCATTTGATTATACATATTAGTGATTAATCGCCATTTTAGTTTTTATCATTTGATACTCGATCTGTTGACAATGTTTGGAATTCCGGTAATATAATTACTTATGAATTATCACTCAATAGTATTATAATTCTTATCTTAATTGTGTTTTACCATAATTACAGTAATTTATAACTACTAATAATACAATTGATAACGTACTGATTAATATTTGATGTTGGATTGTCGCGTTGAATTATATTTGATTTTATCGGTTACAGATATGTTATTAAAATAATATACATCATTATATCATTTTTTGTGAAAAGAACCGTTATAGCATTCATGTTACAAAACGTATTCTTTACAAAAGTTTACATTAAAAAACATCAAAACGAAATCTTTTGCTTATTTTTCAAACTTTGAAACGTGACATGCGCTGACGTTCAACACTGTTACATATAGTATATTGTATGCACATGTGCACAACTATAGTTATATTTTTCTTTTTTTCTATGTAAATATATGTACACGTAAAATTAATTTCAATAAAACTATGTTCATTGTACAATACATTGAAATATATGTATGTAACACCACATATGTATGTAACTAAAATGCATATGCAGAATAGTTGAGTTAATATATTCTTGACAAAGCCAGTTGAACTGGATTTACATATTTTAGAATAGACCGTTGGACGGACTGACATTTCAAATTTTAGAATTCTATAGATTGTATGTATGCATTCGCTTATTATTTTTTTATTCAGTTAACTACATATAACCTAAGTTGTGGATAAGTTAACCTAACAGTAAAAATTATGCTGACTAAATATGAATATATTTAAATATATATATATATGTAATATATATATAAATATATATATATATATACATATATATACATGGAATAATAGTATCAAATATTTTTTTCATTATAATATATAAATTTATACATTATAAATTTAAATTTATAACAAAAATTTAAAAAAAAATTATCGTTTACATTAGTTGTGATATTCTTTCAATAATTCCAATAATAAATATTTTCGCGTTTTATAAGTTCTAAATTATATATTAAATTAATTTGAATAAGGTAATTTAAAAAAATTTCTAATTTGTAATATATATTTTGAATCTTTTATTTATTTTATTGTTAAAGTATGTATATTAATGACTTCTTTTTCATTAATTCTATATAAAAGAATTATTAAATGATTATTAAAAATATTTTGTAATTTAATCATGAATTTATTTATAGAATCTATACTATATTAAAAATGCTAATTCTTTTTATAATTCTATAGATCTGTGAATTGCCTTGTGTATTTCTTGAAGATAGAAAAGTTTATGGTTAGCAATTAAGCAATTAAAAACAATTATAAACATTTATAAAATTGTCAAGTTTATTCATAAAATATCATTAATAATAGAATAATTTAATAGCTATAGTTAATGGTTAACTTTCATGTGAATTTCTTTAGATAAATTACTTTAGATATTTATACACAATTGGAATTAAAAATTTAAATTTCACAAATCGGTTAAGATATGATTTAAAATTTTTTAAAATATTAATCATCATATAATGATTGATTGCATAATATGTATAATGAATCACACAAATATTTGATATATTATCTATAAAAAAATTTTATAAATATAACATAAATTTATTTGCATTAAATAATATATACATTTTTTAAATATTATTAATACATTACAGATATATTATAGATATATAATAGATACATTAAAGTTATAAATTGTAAAGATACTTGAAACAAAATGTATTAAAATATATAAAAGTTTATAAAAGTATTTGAACACGTAATTTTTATTTTTTTTTTTATGAAAATTTTTATGAAAGTGAAAAAAAAATAACTAGGTTATTAGAAAATAAATAATTATATTTTAATTTATTTTCATTTCTTTTAAGTTAATTTTTTTCTTCAAGTATTTCGTAACGTAAATTTTGTTAATATATATTTGGTAGAAAAATTATTTATAAAATTATAACAATTGCTCAGCCATTCAAGAAATTAATAAAATTTAATAAAAATTATTAATTATTTAAAATTTATCTTTAAAATTAATTATAATCTTGGAGCTTATGTTTATAATAAACATTTTATAACAAAAAAATATATTTTTCAATTTTTCAAATAATTATCAAATTTAAAAAAAATTTATTTATTGTAAATTTTTGATAATCATATCTACTCAATATATTTAACATATTTTATATTCAAAAGAATTTTCTATATATAATAAACGTTCAAATATTTTTATATTACTATCTATATTAACTCTACTAAAATATGAATTTTCTATATATAATAAATGTTCAAATATTTTTATATTACTATCCACATTAACTCTATTAAAACATGATTTAAATTCTTCAACATTCTTAAGATTGCATTCTTTATACTCTAATACGTGATGAACATCGAAAACTATCGGTAACTGGCAATGTTGTACTACCTACATACATTTGACTTCGTCATAAACTATTCATATACCTTTTCCATTTTAAATGGATGGGCAATGGGAAATAATAAATAATACGCTTATACGTATATATTCGATACGCGTAAAGAAACGATTGCGACAAATCATTCGGAATTCTCGGATCGCACGTTAAAGACAGATTTAGATCGATGCTTGTTCAAAAAAATTGGCCACGTGGCCAATTGCTTTGAAAGAAAAAAATTTCGTAAATGTTATTTTTCCTAAACGAAATTCCTAAACGAAACAAAAGTAATATTAAAAAAAAAAACTAGCATGTTAAGTGAATAAAAAACAAAGACGAGTAAATCATTCGCTTGACACTTAAACATACAGACATTTCGTTACTTGTTTATACAAAAATCAAGAAGTCACTTCGGTGAATAGGTACATCCGCCGAACGAGTGTAAACAATATTGTACACGTGGCCCACCGAGACTATTAGGTTATGTTCTCGTAGACAATTTAGCTTGCGAGAGGTTTGCCTTTCCTTCTATTGCGTTGTCTAAACCGTTCTTGACAATAAGCCGAGATTTTAATAGCTAGAAAAAAAAAAATTACGTAATTACTAAGGAATGCGTTTAAAAAAAAAGTTTGCGATAGAACATAGCTATGTGGAAACAGTAAATAATCATTGGAGCTTTCTGGGAAGAAATATTTCGTAAAATTACTATTGATAAAAATAACATATTGGAGAATATTAAAGTTTGATATTATGTAAATTATTTCGAACATATACATGACAACGTCGTACATAACAATCTATTATGATTTTTGTTGGCCCAAATCTTTGACTCTTTGACATATATCCCTGTATTTATTCATTGGAAACGAAACAAAGTCGAATTCGTGGCCATAATATAAACTTCTGTGTAGAGGTGAAACTGATGATTGATTTACAACAGTTACTATCCTTGTAAATAAAAATTTTCCAGAAATTCATTGAAGAAATTAAATATTTCGAAATCGATAAATTTTTAAATGATTTCAATTTTTTTTTCTATTGAAAATCTTATCTTTTTTAAATTATTTCAATTAATATTTTGGTTTAAATAAATTGTTATTAGCGATTAATTTTTTCATATCATCTCATATCATCATAATTATTTCAACGAAATCTCGATCTGTAATCTCATTGCGCGCGTTTAATTTATCGTAATATTTGGTAATAAATTTTTCGCGTCATAAAATGATCGATTAGAAATATTTGCTTTCTGAATTCTATGTGATTTTTACGCAAAAGTATACATTATTATTTTAAAATAAAAAAAAAAACGATTATATGTATAGATATTTGTGTTGAGATACCAAGCAACAAGTAACATGAATTCGAGAAGGATAGATTTCGAGTTTTGATTTGTACATATAGTATACATATTGTATACCGTAAGCTATCCCGCAATGTGTACTTAAGTAGTCTGTACAATCGGTTAAAACCGGTGCGACGATTCTTGACAATTTGTCGGGTCAAGCACGAGCCAAGCAAACGTTCACGCGAAGGGAGTGATTATCGACAACAATTTATTTGATTCGAGTTTTATATGTTTGCGTAGTCTGTTGTAGTCACGAGTTACGGTCTCGCTTTCAATGAGCTTAATCGAGCCGGTTAACACGCGACATTTCGTCCCAAGATGAATCATTGCGATTAACATTTGGAATTCGTTTAACAATTTCTAGGAGTGTTCTTGTGATGATTCTCTATATTATATAACATTCTTTCTTATATGTGCTTGAATACAATTAAATTGTAATTAAGTCGTACACAATAATGCATATTAAATGCTATAAGTAAGTACATGCAACTCTTAACCGAATCTTTTGAACATTCGGGACGGATCGGTAAAATTCGGGTAGGATCGGGCGAGATCTCGATACTCCTGTATTGTAGAAATATGATTCTTTGATTTAGAGTTTAAGTTAATAATTTAAAGTGGAATAATTAAAGTTAATATCAAAAATACTTTTTGAATATTATTTGATTAATTTAAAAACTTGAAGTTCATTTAAGAATTAAACTAGAAAAACGATGATAAACTTTTGTTAATATTTAAAAATATTAGAATACAAAATACATAAATTTTAAATTATTATATTTTTCAATGAATGGTATAAAAATTAATATGTTATCGATATTTTTTAAAGTAGCAACATTGATTTTAAAGGGATGAAAGTTTTATCGTGCGTGAATTTGATTTATCGTGTTATTATAGGAGGAGTTTTCTTGTGTTTAATGAGAGTGCTTATCAATTTGATAGCAAGGCAGATTTATTGAACCGTAGATATTATGTATTGCTATTATGATAATACACAAGGTTTGTATAATTTTCATAATAATAGAGAGAAAAGTTGTCACGCTTACTTAC